CATAGCGGGCAACTCCGAATCTCACAAAAAAAACATTTGTTTCATTGTGAAATGAGACCAAACCAAGAGAAAGGATTTCCTCCACTGCCTTACATTTTAAAAGTCAGTTTTTTCTAGTTACAAATCTCTAATAAGTATTAGGAAAACCAGCTTCGCCATCCACTGGATAGAGACTTATCCAGTACTATAACGTTATCCCTCTTTTGTAACAACTGGGACCTGAACCTTTCAAGATTACATACCGCCGAAAGTACAATTCCATCAAGAACGTCTTTTGACCAAAGTATTTGGTGTTCTTGCGCACGCATGCATTGGTTTTCGATTGAAAACGTTATTGTAGGATGTCTAAAGAGAAACAAATCATTGTATTCTTTCTTTACAATAAGCCTGGCGGCAGGCATGAGGCGGGGCAGGGCGATCCTAAAAAGACTAGTCATGTGGGCGGCTGACGGAAACATTATTTTTATTTAGATAAAGAGCAATCAGGGGACACCTTTTGACAAATTATTATCTAAAAAACTTTTTTGATGTATTTGAGATAAATAAACAGCACCTTAATTGCAGTGAGTGTTTCAACTAGCTGCCGTTCTAGCATTTGAATCGTAAAAGCAGTCAGCAGCCTCTACCTATTGTTTTAATTCGACTGATCCAGAATGATACTGTGAGATTAAGAGCAAGATTTACATAGCTTACCTCTGAAGAAGAAAGCTGTTTTTTTTAATTTCAAAAGTAGAGCTGAATATCTCTGTAGATACAGTAAGATAGATTTCCGGGGAGGGAATTGTCGTAACAAAAAAAACCGTGCCCGTACGTTGGAAAATTGGAATTAAGCCCCTCAACTGGGTGTGGCTCCAGCTTGATTTGACTACCGAATCGTCCCCAGTCGTCTCTTATTATTTTGTAAGCGGTCAAGGAACGGTTGCGGCAGACTATTAGACACTGGTGCGAAGGGGACGATGAGAAGGTCAAAGGGGAAATGAAGTCTCTTTCCTGCTTCCCATCATCCGCCGCACTTCCCTTTACCGCGGTTCTCTCGTTAATATTAATAGGAGACTGAGAGACAAGTGGGGACGAGTCAGGATTTGACCCCAATACTTCAACACAATGACGGCATTTGCTACTGTTATGCACAACCCTAAGCAACTTTTTATGAGTTAAAAATAATCGCTTTCCTTTCTGAACACCCTAAGTCAGACCAAAATCTGAAATTTCTACTGCTAAAAGTGACGACGAGCATCACCGCCATTTTCATATGGGAATCAGGCATACAAACAATTACTAAAAAATTACATGGATTCGTCATTCATTCTGCTTTGAAACTTTCGCGCACCGGCTTTATTAGGCTGCCTCCTCGCACCCTCGTGTCTTCGCGACGCTGTTCGTTAGCGATAACTTATTTCTACTTACAGTGGACTCTCCATAACTCGAACCTTCAAGACAAATCGAGTTATCGGGAGCTCGAAGAAAATAGCCGGGAGTAAGGAAAATAACACTTTTTACTGCACAGTGAGCATTTTAATCACATTTAACTGTAGAAATGTCAAGTGAAAATTACAAGATACTTCTTGATTATAAATCAGAATGTAACGTAGCAAATAGCTTAATTAGAGTATGCGTTTTACTGTTTTGAGAAGTAAAGCTCTTTCACGCTAGATTTGTGGCAAACAACATCAGCCTCCATATAATTAATAAACTTTAACATGCTTACAACACGTCAATGGGAAATTCAGAATTCAATGTTTCGGACGCCATTAGGCTTTTTTTCCCAACTTTTTAAGGCTTTAAGGGCTCAAAACATGGTTCGAGTTATCGAGGGTAAAATTACATAGAAATGATCTGAGGGGAAACAAAAACTACTTCGAGTTAGCGGAAGATTCGAGTTTCCCAGGGCAAAATTACAGTAAATGTATGACGAAAATCCAGGGGGAATCGATTTTGGTTCGAGATAGCGCGAGGTTCGAGTTATCGGGAGTCAACTGTATTCCTTCTTGGGCGTGAGTAGCGCGACTGAGTTCGGCAAGGCAGTAACTGACTACATTTGAAACACGCTCCAAGCCGTGGAATGCCTAAGTGTAAGATCGCGAGGAAATAAGATTGAAACCAACATTAAGGGAAATCAGTTTTTTTTACCTAAATTTACTACCGTACATAAACATCTAAGGTTCATTTCGTTTCTAGTAGCTTCTAGTCTCGACTCCTTTGACAGTGTCTGATCACAAGTATCGATCATACAATCAAAACAATTGAGCAAATTGTCAGCGAAGTTTCCCTGTAACTATAAATCATTAAAAATTTCACTGTTAATATTATAATGGAACAATATTTTTTACAAATCATTGCGCTCAGACTCATGCTTGTATCAGACCTTTAAGAGTGACATGGATTTTTTTTAAGATTGAGGAACTGGATATCAGTTTCCGTTAATGGTTAATAGAGTAGGGTCCTACATTATGACAAAGCTCAAGATTTCAATTGAATTTGTCAAATTGAAAGTACAGTCTTTATTTTGAGCACTGGACCAGACTCTGGTCGGCTAACTGAGGTCCATGGTTTAGTATCAAAGATAGAAGCAGACATCCTGTAGGCAAGAGAAATATTTCCGCCAAGACAGTTTCATTTTTCTAGTAGTCGAAAGGTGCTATTTATTATGCAACGTATTACCTACAGTGTATGTTACTAGAATGCAAATTTTACATCAGTACCTCAAAGTAAACAAGCAACACGCTCAATTTTCAAACAAACAGACCATGACAATGATTTCCGCATCCGATTTTTTGAGTAAATTTTTTAGTAAAATGCGAAAGCTTTGAACAAAGCCGAGCTCAACTACCTCGCGACTCATTTATGTTATGCCTTGTATCCGTGACTATATCAGAAGATGACATTTTCAAAACTCAGTAAAGAGCAACACTGAATCCAGCATCGCGTTGTGCGGAATTTTTTTTAGACGGCTTGAAGTGGACAAATCGCCATGTTTACGTTGAGAATACTATAGACACACTAAAGCACTCGTGACAGGCAGAGACGACAATTTATTGCACAAGTATACTGGCTGGTCTAAAGTTTAACAAAGCGTCCTGTTTGAAATTATTAGTATCTTTTTTAAGTTACTTGAACTTGTGTTTCGCGCTAATAGAAAACGAAGTCGCAGTAGCTGAGGAGGAATGCGTAGCTAGAAGAGCGCATTTCACTGGCGTCAGAAAAAGAAAACACATATTGAATAATCTAAATATGCTATGTACAATCCAGTTCAGGCGTAGTCGTAAAACTTGGACTTCTCTCAGAAGGCCATTCTTCATTATATAATTAATTAAACCTTATATAAAACAGAAATCGAACAAACAGAGAAAACTTCCGACATCACCCTCCCCACCCGTTACCCCACCTTTGCTTCTCACCGCCCAACCCTCCCTTCCCTAGCTTAGTCGAAATCACTCTTCTGGACCCTCTCTTTTTTTGTAAAACGTGGTCTGACAGGAAAATTATTATACATTCAAAGGAAACAAAGTGGAAATTGCTTTATAGTGGAATCCCGATTTTTCCAACAACCTTACATGGGAAAGCAAATTTGTTCGAATTATCGGGACGTTTAAAGATCGGGGGTAAAATTACAGTGTTTGGCTGGAGAAGGAAAGTTAATTTTGCTTCAAAATATCGGGAATTTCAGAACACTGAGAGTTCGAGAAATTGAGGCTCTACTGTACTTTACCGATCGCTGTGAACAACGATAAAGCGAGATGGCTTGAGGAATCCTAGTCTCGCTCAACAAGAACTTGGTTGCATGTACAGGTCACAGAATTTCTTGTCGTCTCTTTGTCAAGGGCTCACGGTTGACCCATGAATTGCAGTGTCCAGTCCTAGAAGACGAAACCTTGATAAATGGATTACTGGAAGGTATGATTTATCATGTTTATCATGTTAAAACGTCGACGGAGGCTAAAAAGTCGGCTCTGTTCTAGTTTTACTACACATTTATCAATGCGATCGCATAGAAACCGCATTCGCATCAGTAGCTGATTCCTTTCAATGTCATTTCGATTTTACATAATATTATATTTAAACTTCGAAAGAAAAAAAGTGTATTTCAAACGTATAAATCAAGAAGTTGACCATGTGTCCAAGCAAAGATAAAATAGAAAGGAAATGAAAGTGTCGCTAAAAAGAATTATTAAATATAGCCCAGTTTTCAAAACTCGACGAATACCGACAGAGAAATTCTGATCGGGACGAGAACTTGAATTGATCGCCGGATACAAAATGAGCCACGCGTCATAAAATCTACACATATTCGTACTCTTTTTTCCTCAGTTTTTACTCAAACCATCATCCCAATACATATGCGTTCTCAACTAAGAAAGGGTTACGTCGCCAAGTAAGACGAAAAATGAACGGGTCAGAAACTGAAGAAATATTAAAAGAAAAATCGTCAAATAAAAAGGACAGAAAATATCTCATCGAGCACAAAAACTCTTCGTGAGAGATGGGTTGTTACAGAAAGACTTCAGGTTATGTGTGACCTTTGAGGTAGATCTTGAGTGAGAGCGAACATGTAATAATAAAAGATTTAGAAGTCCCACGACTTTCGAATCTTTCATTTCGTTTAGATATAGTTATGAAAGGTGTTTTCACTCAATAATTTTCGCCTCAAACCAATTGTGAAATTTATGACGCCATTGCAAATTGAGAAAGATATCCGTTTAATAATGTCCTAAATTTTACTTCCTCCGTTCGTAAAGAGACCACGAGAGTGCAGTATCAATGTTAATTAAGAAATTAAATAAATACAAAAACAGGGACTCCAGTTTTCTTCTCTTTTTTCCAAGTCCAAGGTAATAGATCGAGGTAATAGATTACTTTTCATGTATGCTGTGGCTTGCAGTAAAAGATGCTATTTCATTGGATAAATCACTGACTGACAAAACAAACACTACAGCCAATAGCATTGCTCGTTGGAACTTAGGTACAATGTCCTCTTAACTTGTTCCTGCGAGAATAGAATGATGATTCATGAATATCACAAAATAGTGGGGAAAACGAATACAAGACAAGAATTAAGGCTTAAAAACAAAAATAGAGTAAGTTTGTATATTTTTACTTAACCGTGGATTCTTTAAAAGATACGTTAAGGTATTCATAGTAATCACAATTTTCCTATTTCCCTTACTCTGCAGTCCTTTGATTTGTCCACTGAGACAACTGCGGTGCAACTGGAAATCTTAGAGGTAAGTTGTATGCCTCATAATATATTAAACCGTGTCTGTGCGAGGTTTTGAAAAACATCTCCGTCGACTTTTTTAGACAACGTTTTAGAAATGAACTCGTCAAAAGGCGAATATTATAAGAATGGTCAATTCTTCTAAAACTGATTAATCGTCCCAAAATTAAGCGTCTTGCAGTCTGATAATAATTTAGCCTCTCGTTGTATTAGCTTCACTCTCTAGAGTGAATTCAGTTAAAAATCCTTAACTTGAACAGTTCTGCACACTTTACACTTTTCGGATTTTTCAAATTAATGATTTAAAGCTTGCTACCGTTAATCATTCAACATATATATGATGTTCAGTCTATCAAAAAAGCGTAGCAGTAGTTCTTTTTGAGTTGTGCCAAAAATCTAAAAAGAATTCTTCAGAACTGACTGAGCTAATTCAAGGAGTCAAAAGTGTCAGAGTTAAGATTTAAAAAAAGAGAGAAAGAAACAACGATATCTTTCGGGAATTTCACTGTCTGTGCCAGTTAAAACCCCCTCAGCACAAGAACCTGTTTAGCCTAAAATTTAAAACAGGTTCTTATTTAAAAATGTTTTTAAAAAATTTTGTACGCTCGGAAAATAAAAAAGTCAACATTCAGGATCCCGTTTGGAGACATAGGTGATTTATCAATCCAACTGGAATGTATTGGTATGCCGGTGATTTCATGAAGGATAAGCTGAACACAACTAAATACTCTTTTTTTAGCTACAATGTATTTTTTCATTGCCAAATGAAATCAGCCTAAATTTCATATGTGCTAATTTCCATTTATGTAAGAACCTGTTTTGGCTAATTTGGGAAAATGCAGCTTCTTAGTCGCGGTTTTTACTGAATAGCCTCTAAAGCGTCTTCAGAACAGTTACACTGATAAATATTTTGAATGGCAAATCTGTCGCATGCAAAACAGTTTTCCAAACATTACATTTGCTGATAATAAGAATGATTGTCTTAACATTTCGTCAAATTATCACGTCAGTGCCCTCAGTTCAAACTTGGTTTAACTTGTATCTCAAAGGAAGTTTACATAGTTCTCATCATTGGCCGGTTTTCAAAATAATTGCTTAACGTCATGGAGCCTTCCAACTCGTTTTAACTTGCAACTTAAATAAAACAAAAGCAGTACATGACTCTTTTCAATTCGTCAATTAAGACCGACTGATTTACATGTAACCAATAAGAATGCTTCTAGTAACTTACATTTAACAATCTTTCAAACTTGTCCAAAACACGTTTTTACGTAAACTTGGTCAAAATAGGGCATAAAAACCTTCGTACTGTCGAAAACATTATCATTCGTCTTGGGATCACTACAGTCGTTCATACAAGCAAGGTAGGACTTGAGTCAATGTTTCCAACAATCTTTCGTATCAAACTAATATACTCAGTTTAATTAAACGATAGCTTGGAGTTCTTTTCACGTGGTTTTAATTTGAACTGTTTCTTTTCACGAAATATTTAAATGTAAGGCTTACTGCTACTAGTTTTGTTTAGTTGCGCTTAAATCTTAAACGAACGCTTCAACGAAATGTCCAAAAGTTTTAAGCGTCCGTGTAAGTCCGATATATAATTGCAAGGACATGGTAATGTTTTCAAGTAATGCTAAAAGCTGACCTGAAATTGATGAATAAAACCTGATGAAACTGATATTTTTTCTCCAAAACAAATAGTAACTTCGCCACAGATCATCAATTCGCGTTGCTTGTTATCTGCATTTTGAATTTTTTTGTTTTGTTTTTTTTGTTAGCAAATCATTGAAACTGATGCCTTTTTAAAGATATTCGGCCATAATTTTGAGCGTACTCCGGTTTTCACAGGTTTCCTCATCATGCAAACCTTTATAAAGATACCGCTGGCTACTGTGTTATGTGGGCTGCTCTTACTGCTGATTACCTTGTGTTCTGCAAATGACAACAACAGCAGCAAACCACGTGACAAGGTGAGTTTGTTTAATCAAACATTGTAATATATAGCTTTAATATATGAGAAGTGAGTCAAGTCAGTCAACGGTACCTGAACTATTAACCTGAAAGAACTTAGTGACGTAGAATGAATGAAAGGTGATTTTTTATTTAAGGATGCTTGACTGAGGTTAATTGATTGACTTAATCAATTGATCATGAATTTATAACGGAATGAATTTTTACATTTTTCATTTAGAGTATTCCTCAACAGACTTCACCTTATGGTTCCTGTGGTCATGGTGGGTGTTTCTGTGCACCAGGAATTCCAGGCATCCCAGGAAGCCCTGGACTCGCGGGACCAGCAGGTGTCGCGGGATCACCCGGTAATCATGGACCTGAAGGACCCATTGGCCCACGAGGGAAAAAAGGTGATGAAGGAGCTCGTGGAAGACCGGGAGCACCAGGCGTCAAAGGAGTTAAAGGACCTGCAGGCCAGACAGGTCCACGTGGGGACAAAGGTGAAGCAGGTTCAGCTGGTTCCCCTGGAAACAAGGGCGATACAGGTCCTCGTGGAAAGCAAGGTCCTTCTGGCCCCAAGGGACTTCAAGGACCCTCAGGTTCAGCTGGTTCCCCTGGAAACAAGGGTGATACAGGTGCTCGTGGAAGTCAAGGTCCCACAGGTCCCAAGGGTGCTCCAGGATCGTTTGGTCGTAATTGGAAACAGTGCGTTTTTAAGAATCTGGGCGAAAACAAGGACTCTGGATTGATCAAGGTAACAACTGCATGAGTTTGTTGTTCTAGATTAAATAAATAAATCCGACGTAAATTAAAAATTACTGATACTTAAAGGTCTAGCTTTGAGATTCGAGCGAAGTGTAAATCTTACTGGTTATTACGTCATTTGGAGAAAAAAAATGCGTGTATCTGAAATTTTGCTATTTATTCATGGAATGATACGGAATTCAAGAAAAAATTCGAATGACATTACTTAAGTTACGACAAGTTTATAGGATACACCTATATCTTTTGGTCTGAATTTGAGTAAACCCGCCATGGTAACTATAACTTGTTCCCACGGTTTGCCCCTATGACGTCGATAGCATCGCAGGCACGCTATCCACAGTTGAGGGTATAAAGATGTTAAAGTCAAGTAGCATAGCTATAGCCAACTGAAAAGTCAGAGGAGTTAAAACAATTCCTTTCCTCTTTTCATTGTGAAAATACGAGTGTGTTGATTTCTTTGTGTTACAGTGATTGAAATCCACGGTTTTCAGGTCCGTTTTTCTGGACGATCATGTCATTGTTTATCTCTGATGTTTCATTTTGGTTCACTTCGTTTTGATCTTTCCTCCTCTGTTGATTTTTAAGGAGTGCATTTTCAAGAAAGCATCAGCCACCACTGGGTTGTGCGTCTTTTGGAGTGGCACTCTTCGTCTCGCTAACTGCCATGGATGCTGCAGACGATGGTATTTCACTTTCAATGGTGCAGAGTGTTCAACACCGGCTCCCATTGACGGAGTGGTATACATGAGATATGGAAGTAGTTGGAAAAAGGATTTACACCGCGTACGTCACATAGAAGGAGTCTGTGAGAAAATCCACAAGGGTACTGTTCGCGTGGGATTCTGGGTCGGCAATTGTGCTGGTTACAAATCTGCTGATGCTCACACAGGCTGGAACTCAGTGTCCCGGTTGTACGTGGAAGAAGTACCTCCCCCACAGGCTTAATAACAGCGGAGCCAAAGTTTTTTTTTCCGCTTTCCATGACGAGAGTAATATTTTGAGGGTGATTTCAATAAATAAATGGGTTTTAAAATAAAATGAACGGCGTGTAATATGAATTTACTACCCTCACCCATCTCGACCTTATTTTCCCTTTGTTTTTCTTAGTTCTCCATTCTTTGGGTTATCATTTAAGGTTATTTTCCTGTGTGTCCAGTCAGCATCAAATTTAGGGCGACTAGTGTATCTTCAGCTTTTAAGGGCATCCAACTAATGAATGTTTTATGAGCCTGTTTGAAAAAAATAGAGGTGCCCTATAGCCTGAATTTCATCCGATTACTTCGAGTCGTTATTACTCCCTCAGTTGTTGAGATGAGGAAACGACTCGAAGTAATCGGATGAATTTCAGGCTAGGTGCCCTATATACTATTCATCTGTTCGGATGTCTCAGGGGGACTTTGGTTTTCTCGAAAGTTTTGGGTGGCCTTTTCGTGTCATCTGAAACTGTTAGCTACCCTGATGGGTCCGGTCGCAAGTTTAAGGACGTGGGGTAGCCGTATCTTAAATAGAAGATTTTACGGAAGGTTTTGACTTTTTACGGAAATTTTCAGGGGACCTTTGTGAACTATACTCGCGCGCAATATCTTGGTAATAAATGTGAAAAACACAACCTCCCAAATAAATAAAATCGTATGCAACCGAATATCTTTGAGGAAAGTAACTTTTATCCAGAAAAGTTTAGCCATTCTCGGCATTATTTTCTCTTTCGAAACGTTATTTTAAAGAAAAAAAGGTTCGTTGGGTGCCCCTGACAAGAATTTCATTTTGAAAGTGGCCGTGGGACTGTCGTTGGAAAATGCTGCTGATAATTTTACAGGTAAAGGGCTAAAACTGAGCTCGTATTAAGAATAAGGTTACGGAAATAAGACTACAATGCTATAATGGTGAAAGTAAGAAGGTCTTCAGTTTCACATGAAAATTTAGTCACACCCACCTCGTCGAGGATGCCACACCTTCACTAAGGAAATCAAATTGTTGCTTGACCTTATTCGCTTAATGAGGCAAAATATTTGACTGTCAGGGATTTTTTTGCCTTGTGTGGTAACGTTTGAGTCTTAAGGTAAATTTATTTCTTTGTTGGGGAAAAAGAAGTTTGTTTGACCAGAGAGCAAAACGGTTCACTTATTCGGAAGATTTATTGGATCAGTAACTTTTGCGCATTCCCGAACATCTGAAACACTGGAGCTGCAGCGTAGTCCCGCACTTAAAAAGGGATGTTTGGGTCTTTTTGGCTAAGCAGAAGGGCTTCCTTTTGGCTAGACAGAAAACGGCCTTGCTAGCATCAAAAGATGTGTTTCAGCAAAATTCCCAATTGCAAATGGGTTAATAATAATAGTAAAAATAATGCTGATAACGATGATGAAGATAATAATGATAATAACAATCGAAAAAGAAGCTTATCATTTAGTTCCGAAGTCCATTTTATTGCTGAATATACGGGTAATTTGGAAGGTGAACACTGCCTTGGATTTAGTTCAATCTTTTGAACTCAATCATGATGGTTAGTTAACAAATACATTTGTATCATGGTCTTTAGCAGTTAAACTGGGAATGCACTTTTCCAGAAAGTTTCCATGACCACCCATTAGGCCACAAGGATTATACCTGAAAAGTTATACATCAGGCCTCAGTTGTTCAAAAGTTGGATAACGCTATCCACCGAATAAATCACTATCCCACGAATAAGTGTTAGGGAAACCAATTGCGCTATCCAGTGGATAGTGATTTATCCAGTGGATAGCGTTATCCACATTTTGAACAACTGGGGCCTATACTTTTAGTAGTGTTACAAAGACTATTGAGGAAGTGAATGGACCATAGGAACAAGTTTTAAAAATAAAGCCAGGGTGATTAAATATGTTCTCAAAGTGTTAAAACGTAGTAAAGAATTCCTCTCAATCTCATTACCTCATGAGGTAATATTATGAGGAACATACAAAAGGTTAAAATTGGTGACAAGTTGTTCAATACTATTCTACATCTGCTGCTAAGGAATAGATAGATATATAAATTTTGATAAATACACAAATCATGCTAATATGCATCTTGTTCCATACTTGTTGCATTGCCACAGCTTCAAATGATGAAGTTACTTCTTCTTTTTGCCACCTCCCTTCTTCTTGGGTGGCTTGTTTTTACCTCCCACAGCTGCAGGCTTCACTACTTTTAGTGGTTTGGATTGCTTGCCAACTGCTACCTGAGTAAGCTCTTGTTCTATCTTGGCTTTAATAGTTACTTCCAGTCCCTTGTCAAAAATAGATCAAAATTATGAAATATTTAAAACTGAAGTTGAAGGGACAAAGGCCTGTCCAAATAGTGACTTTTTCCCCTCATGGTTGCATGGTTTTGGAAATTATTTAGAGTTTTGACAAAATGCAAGTGAAATTATTCCCTAATTTCATGAGTATACTACAATGTATTTGATAACCTATTAATAACATAGGTGATAAATTATGCTCAAAATTGTGGGTTTTTTTATTTGTGTTTTGTATTGAGAACTCCGCACATTGACTTTGATGTCTGAACAGTGCCTTAGCTCACTGATAACACAAGGGGCATGTTGTTAAAACATTGGATAACACTATTCACCACATAAATCACTATCCACTGGATGTTAAGTATTAGGAAAACCAATTGCTACTTGATACATTTTTATCAGTCACGCTGAGGTTAGCCCCATCCAATGTTTGAGCAACCAGGGCCTGATAACAGCTTGTTTATCTGTTGATGGATGATTGCGCAGTATTATTGGGCAGTTTGGACCTGCAGATAATCTATTATCTTTTGACTATGTATCAGCTAAAAGAAATTACAAAGCAGCCTTTGGGCAAAACTACGGCAAATTCAGCGTTTGCTAGGAATATTTTTGGTAATACATAATTATATATAGTTTTAATCCAGGTGTAGTTAATCAATAATCGATAGTAATCAATATCAGTCATTGATGAACATCGATTTCCGATATCAATAATAGAAATCGGTAATGATTGATTTATCGATTGTTATCAATAATTATTATAGGAAAAGATTTTAGTCACTCGGTAGAGGCTAGTTCAACCTTAACACGTTGTCTACATACGGTACTATTAAGTCATTCAGTCATGATACATTTCTTTTAACTATTGATAAAATACCATACTGAAAAGATTCGTATGTACACACTGAAAATTCCCCACACAGCTAGTTCAACCTTAACACGTTGTCTACATACGGTACTATTAAGTCATTCAGTCATGATACATTTCTTTTAACTATTGATAAAATACCATACTGAAAAGATTCGTATGTACACACTGAAAATTCCCCACACCAGACACTATGAGGGGAATGGGTACAAAGCTTTCGGCACAATGATTTCTGGGATCGTTTGGGTGGACAAACGCTAATTATGATTGGCCGATGGTATCTCAGGCAACCATTAACCAATCATAAGTAATTCTTGTCCACCCAAACAATCCTAGAAATTGTTGTGCCGAAAGCTTGTAATGTACTCATGCCCTTTATAGTTTCTGGAGTAGGGAATAACAGCTTTCGCCAAATCAAGTACGACCCCCTATGCCAAAAGATGACAGCAATATGAAGGACTTTAATGCCCCTGTATATGCTGCATTGAAATGGATTCCAATGAGAGCGAGATTGCAAGGAAAGAAATGTGCAGTCGATGGCGCAGGATTAAATGGACAGCTAAAGATATATCAAAAACCCAAGAGACAAAAAATGGAACACTATCAAGACTATGCCTAGAGTAGTAGCTGAAGTCAACAGTAAAATGAATTAAGCCGAAGCCGGTCTCATCGGTGTTGTTTGTTAAATAGCATCATCATGTCCAGAATACCTGAACCATATACTCTTCAAGACTATTGCTTGTTATCAATTACTATAGATTGTAATACCTTGAAAAGTGGTCCTAACATTGAAATCATTTAAGCTTTTAAAAATTTAGCTGGGCGTTGCATATTTTATCTCAGAACAATTTTAAAAAGCACGCAGCATTTGGGGACTTTATTAATTACAAGCGTTTGAAAATAAGTAAAAATAAATCTTTGATTTTTTTTGGAATTATTATGAAATCTTAAAGTTTTGTTTACAGCCGCATTGTGCAGAATTTATGAGCGTCGTATGTAATCTTACATTCACAGGCACCCTAAAATGAAGGACTCTGCGGTTGTTTAATGTAAAACTCAGAATGGATCAATTTTTGTATGTATTCAATACGTGCTTGCAGTTTATTGTCAGCTGGTATCTCACCTTTTTCACTTTTGCTGCTTTTACGCTCTTAGTTTTCTTGGGAGCAATAGCTCTTGCTGAAATACAAAAAAATAATAAGGCATTTTATCGATGAGCTGGTCAAGTGGTTTGTTTGCAAACAAAAAATATAAGCGGTTTGCACACCAGAAGTATTTATTTAAATTGAAAGCATCACTTTAATACATATTCACAAATTTCTATGGTAATTTAATGAAGAAATCACTGCAGACTGCAATCAAAAATTGGATTATAAAGCCCTTTACATAAGGCGCAAAATCGATAAAATGTTGAAAGGGCGGCAAAGTTCGTACGCTCTACAAACACGCGTTACTTCCGTCACAACATCACGGTTAGCCAGCCATTAAATCGTTAAAGTTTCATACAGCAAAAATTCGCTGAATCTTTACCTCCTTTTTTAGGCCCTAGAGCCTTTTTCTGAGTCTTCTTAGCGGCCGCTGCCTTCTTTTTCTTGCCCTGTCCTTGCGCCATGTTCTCAAACGTCCAACCGTCGAAGTCCTTTGTTTACCCTTGAGCCTGCGATTACGCGTCTATGTCAGTGGAGTTCCAACTCGACCCAGTCTTTCGACTGCACGACTAGCTGTAATCACGCGGCAACTTCAAGTACCAGTTTTTGGTTCTTTATAAGGTGAAATTGCAGTAATTTACGCGATAAAACGGTGGATAGTGTCTTTCAGATGCAGCGAGAGCTGTCTACGTTCCCTTTAGCTCCAAATTACCTGCACAAATTGTCCGCTGCGGGGTATATGACCGCTGATGAGGTTAAAGATGTCACTCCCACTGAACTGAGCGAAGGCAAGTTGACTGCACTATCCTGAGTTAATAAGCTTATCTCAAACAGTTAATCTAACTGTAGTTTGTTGTGTCTTTTTTTGCCCATTTTTAATAATTTTAGAGTGTAGATAACATTTAAGAAGAATATGAGGAACTTGTGTAGACTGAATGTGAGAGACTGCTGTATGAACTGTCTCGGGCTAGTCTCAGTTGTTTAAACTGCTATCCACTAAATAAATTTTTATCCACTGGATAATGCAGTTGCTCTCCCTAACACTTATCCACTGGAAAGTGATTCATCTAGTGGATAACACTATTCATCTTTTGAAACAAGTGGGATCTGGTCTATATTGAGGCCTTGTTAGGGTAAAATTTCGACAAATGACATTTATAGCTTTGAAACAGCGACAGTAAGACTAGATGAAATGGTGATAGGCAACATAATGATGGGTTAGATACTGACAGGGGCATGACCTACTACTCAAACTGCGAAACAACTGATTTGAAATTCAGACTATAATGTAGGTTGTTCTTAGAATCATTTCTACACAAAATTAATTCCATATGCTAATAGCAAATTACTTCTATCACTGATGTAGTTTGGGGATAACTAGCAGAATTCCTGGCCACTTTAAAGTTATACCCAAAACTTGGATATATGATGTGTAGCACATGTCAGAAACTCTTGCTTCACTTTTTCATTTCTTTTTGCCACAGTGACGAGTCAGCACAGAGAGCAAATTATATAGAGGATATTACATGGCTGCGCAGAGATACGAAATTTCTCTTCGAGTGTTGAAAAATATCGAGTGAGCACAGCGAACGAGTGAAATGTTTTCAACACGAGAAGAGAAATTTCGTATCTCCAAGCAGCCATGTAATGTTCTATTTATTATATAAACACCAGTGAAATACCAAACCATTTCACTGAAACAGTTTTTTCCTGCGAAAGGCGTGATTTATTATGTAGCCATAGCAACGGTGATATTTTCACATGTGAAAATAACATGTTATTTTCATGTGTGAAGATATCATGTTTTTGTGCGAAAGCTCACCTGGTATTTCATTAGTGTTTATATAATAAAGCAAGCTCTTTCCAAGGCTTAAAATAAATAACTGGCAGATGCTGGTTGTGTTGTCAGGTCAAACTTAATAGACCTCTTTGGCTTGTATGTTTTGTGTTCCCGATAACAGTTCGAGGGGAAATTGACCCTTTGTCTTCTCTTAAATCATGTGTACATATGCAGAGGAATAATATAACATTTGAATGAAACAGTTCTACAGTATTATCTCATGACCTCCTTTGGAAAAAAAAAACATACAAGCTAGGGGTCTATTTTGCTCAAATATGACCCGTTTTTGGCCAAACATATGTTATAAAGAAAAAGCTTGAGGATTACAGATTACAGTACCCCGTGCTGTGCTCTTTCTCAGCGTAGACATTGAAAAAAAAAAATGGGGGAACAGATAAAAAACAAGTAAGGGAAAAGTCCATGTCTCCGACTCTTCCCTGCACCTACATGATTTTCACGTAACTTTTCTTGAACCTCTTTCCCTACTATCCTGGATACCAGAACAGACTAAAAGTACCAAGAAAATAACTTACTGAAAATAAAGAGACAAATGTGGTATAGACAAACTAACCTACTAAAATAAGTGGTAAGAAGGCAAGACTTTTGCCTTATGAGGATGCATTAGCATAAAAAAAAAACAACAGAAAACAAAAGATTAATGTGGTAAAAAGAAAACTGACACACACACAAAGTCAGTAGGAAAACAAGACTTAATGATGTACGAATGAAGTAAAAAAGCAGGGTACAAAAAAGGAAGTTTTACAACTTGCTTATCTTTGTCAACAGACCTAGGAATAGACAAAGAGGAAGGCCTAAAGATCATCCAAATGATAAGAAGTTCAACTGAGTCACCACAGTCGGCAACTTCAAAGTTAGGTTGGACCACTGGGAAAACTGTGTCAAATGTCATATCAGGAAGCAAAAATGCCTATGACCTTCTACAACAAGAACAATCATCAGGAAGCATTGTTACTTTCTGTGAGCAGCTTGATGACATGTTAGGTGGTGGGGTTCCAGTGGGAAAAATCACAGAATTCTGTGGGGCTCCTGGAGTAGGGAAAACACAGATAGGGTATGTTTTAACAAGAAAATGCTTTATTGACAAATTATTTGCCACTGTACAAACAAGACCGGAACTGGAGCCGAAATGTGTCCCACAATATTGTTTCTGGGATTGACACTGGGGACACACCCATCAGCTATTTGCCAATCCTGTAGTATCAGTCTCAGAAGTTAACTTGGCTCATTGTTTCTTTCTCGTTTCTAAAGTGGTTAATTGCCGTAAATTTAATTTTGTTGGAAGTTTTGTGACAAAATTGTTCTTCCCTTGAGAACTCAGACTACGTCCTCTCTGGGATCTGACAGTCTGAACCCGTCCTAAAAATTTTTTTTTTGTATTGTTGTTGGTCTAAAAAGAGCTGCAAATAACAGTCAGTCATTAGACAATAGTCAACTATCACTGGCCCCTGACAAGATCTTATCTGTTATTATGGACATGATATCNAAAATCACAGAATTCTGTGGGGCTCCTGGAGTAGGGAAAACACAGATAGGGTATGTTTTAACAAGAAAATGCTTTATTGACAAATTATTTGGCACTGTACAAACAAGACCGGAACTGGAGCCGAAATGTGTCCCACAATATTGTTTCTGGGATTGACACTGGGGACACACCCATCAGCTATTTGCCAATCCTGTAGTATCAGTCTCAGAAGTTAACTTGGCTCATTGTTTCTTTCTCGTTTCTAAAGTGGTTAATTGCCGTAAATTTAATTTTGTTGGAAGTTTTGTGACAAAATTGTTCTTCCCTTGAGAACTCAGACTACGTCCTCTCTGGGATCTGACAGTCTGAACCCGTCCTAAAAATTTTTTTTTTGTATTGTTGTTGGTCTAAAAAGAGCTGCAAATAACAGTCAGTCATTAGACAATAGTCAACTATCACTGGCCCCTGACAAGATCTTATCTGTTATTATGGACATGATATCGTCACAAAGTTATACATGTATATATAATACCAAAGACTTTCACTTTGTAGATGAATGAGATCTACCTTGAGCAAAAGAGAATTGTTACCCTACTGAAATAACATTTCAGTACTGACTATTAATTTTGAGGTGACTGTAATCAGTATTCCTGCAAATCCCACATTTACTGTGCATAATTTGTTTTGAAGATGCAAAACTAACTTGTTGACTTAGTTTGATATATTCGTCGTTCATCTACAATATAGGCCTATCTTGCTCTCAGAAGATTTTGCTCTTTAGACCCCCAAAAATAGTTCTTTATTTTAGTCAGGATGTTGGTTGGATATTGGACTGGTTTAATTTTCCTGTTTTATTAACCTCAACTTAACTCAATCATTAAAATGCAAAGCACAAAACTGCACTCTATAATATAGTCTTGCCTGAATATCAGGCCTTCCTAAGGGGCTAGGGGAGAGGAGATTTTAGATGTGGGACTCGGAGGTTACTTTCCTTTCGTCTCTCCCTTTTTCGCTTCTGTCTTCCTCTTTACCCCCAGAAACACCTGATATTCAGGCCACGTGTATGTATAGCCAATATCCAGCCATCTTGACCTCACACTTGTTGATAATGTATGACTTGTTCAATTTTAGAGTTTCATTTCAGTACCTCATAAGTTCAACAGTTACTGGCATCGTTTTTTGAGTTTATAGAGCTGTTTCTAAATTCGTTTAGATTTTTGTGATTGTTTAATTTACGGTTGTTTTTATTCCTTTGTACAAAGCAAAGTAAAGTAAAGATTTCCCTTTTAATACTTCTAGTCCAAATCATTGATGAATTTCAGCGGGAAAGTCTTCAATGGCCTTGGCACTGGTTGATCTCAAGCTTTACAGTTGAACCTCTCTGCAATGCGCACCTTGAGGACAGAAGAAAGTGGCCATTGGAGACAGGTTGAAACAAGAGTAATGTATGGAATGTCTGCCAAAAAAAATGGCCGTTGGAGAGTGGTGGCTGTTATTGGAGGTTCGACTGCATTTAGAAAAGAGATAATTTAGCCATAGTTAAAGGGAATTTTTCTTTTTTCTTGAAGAATGCAGCTTGCAGTGGATGTACAAATACCAGATGAGTTTGGAGGACTTAATGGAGAGGCAATTTATATTGGTACATGTATTTATAAATATTAAGCAGTAAACCAAATTTTCTATTGGCTTACAAAGGTATTATTTCCCAGGGCTTGTCTCACAACTTGCATAGTGTGTCAAAGTGCATTATATTTAGTTTTAGCATTTATCACACCAATAGACCTGTAGAACATTTGGTCTATTTGATTGCTTTAATATTATTATTATATTGCAGTAAGTTACTGTTACATGATGTATTTGTGTTAACTGGTACAGTAACAGTAGGTTTTGCCGGATCTAACTAACTGTAGCGTAATTTCTTGACTTAATAAAAATTTCATAACAGTTCCTGAAGTAATTTGGATACACTTTCTTTAAGTGAAGATGAGATAAAGAAACTAACTCAAGGCTAAAAATAATTAGGTGACCAGTCCATTTGGACCAACCAGAATGTGGGCAAGCATATATTATGCTGACTTCTCCTTAAGTTAGTAATATTAGGGATGAAAAACCTTAGCTCGAAAGTGATATGCTTTCTCATTAATTTCATCTGATGTCTAGTCATCGTGTCCAACGGCAAATATAGACAGTGGGTAAATTTTACCAAGTTGGATGTTGTCTGATGACCCAGTGTTATTTGCAGTTCTGTCTGTTTATTTATTTATTTATTTATTTATTTATTATTTTTATTTACCATGTAAAGCCCAAGATTCAATACTGAATTTAAAGGACTGCATCGTATATGCCTTGTATAAAATTGGCCAGGATAGTCAGTGAGTGTATGCAAAATACAGCACATGAACAGGTGTATGTGCATGTCCATGTATGTGATTGTTATTTTGTGGATTTCATGGCAGACACAGAGGGGAGCTTTATTGTTGAGAGAGTTGTAGACATAGCAGATGCAGCAGTCAAACACATGCAGCATGTAGTTCAATCTGCTGATATGGATGAAACAGGTACAATCAGTTCATTTTGATTTGATTTTGTTGTTAAAAGAATAAGCTTATAAACTGGATGAGGAATTTAAAAAAATCATGAAAAAGCTGGTGTACAGACTGTATGCAAGGGTTTCAGGTTCAATAGCCTATGCCCTTAAGGGTTTTTTTTTCATTTTAACTCTAGAGGCAAAAAAAATTTCTTGCTAACAAATATCAATATTCTTTTGAAGAATATTTGGTTTAGATGTGTGTCCGTCTGTTACTTTTCAACAATTTGTTGACTGAATAATATATCAAATAAATCTGTAAAGTGCTTTTTAATCTTCGTTCTTTCCAATTTGTAGTTTACTAATTTGCCACTTTAGAAATGAAAAGAAACTGGACAGAGTTAACCTTTGCAAAGACTTCTGGGATTGTTACTGGGGACAGGGAAAAAAAATTGGTCGATAGTTGACCAATGCGTCCCTGTAAACAATCCCAGAAGTCTTTGGGAAAATTAACTTGGCACAGTTTCCTGCTCATTTCTAAAGTGGCAAAGAAACAAAACTATGCCATTTCATTTGAAAACGGTAGCCTCCTTAACCCTTTAAACCCTAAGGTCAAAATTTGAATTCTCATTTGTTGCCCCTATTCATTTCCTACAGAAGTAGTGGAGAGAAGGTGATAAAATATCAAGCAAATTCATCTTTTTTGATCTTGTGTGTAATTCTCATTACCACTCTGTTTTACAAAGCATTGAAATTACAAGGAGAAATTTGATGCCTATCACTCTTGTGACTTAAAGGGTTAACCCTGACTTAAATAACAATGATAAAACCACACAGGTTTGCTTGGATTTTCATTTCTTTAATGTTGCTTTTTTTCTTTTCTATTTTTTCTTTCATTTGTCTTGGACAGACAGATCTCTACAAACCGAAGCCATGAAAACGTTCCAAGTTGAGAACATCTTGTCCAAGATTTACGTGTTTAGATGCCATGACTACATGCAGTTAATAGCACTGTCACATGTTTTACCAGAGTTCTTGGCAGACCACTCCAAGGTATGTTTAATAGTCAGTCATAGTGGATAAACCTTGTCAACTCCCAAACTACAGTGGGGCGGGGGGGGGCGGCACTCCCGATCATGGTCTATACGGGCAGGCTCTGTCCAAAAGTAGTACCTTTTTCTAGCTTTGAGTGTATCAAAGGATAGGGAATTCACAAGAAGAAGGATATGAAAGGGTGGCTACCGGTATATCATTTTAATCATGAATGTTACATGAAAATTGCAGAAAAGGTCCTGTTTTTAAAATATTAGTGATTTAAAGGCATACCATTTTTGAATAAAAGATATACGAAAAGGGCACGTTTTCAGTGAAAAATAGTATAAAGAGTAAAAGCGTCGGGCAAAGCCTCCCCATATAAAACTCCATTTATTAAACATTGGTGAAATTGTTAGGACCAAATTAAGGCAAGCCATCAATCAATCAATCAAGCTTTACTTACGGTATCACTTCATTAAAAATGCTCTTCCAGTGAGCCGTTTACATAACAAAATTTTCAGAGAAACTACATTAATGCTAAAATATATCTATATACCGTAAATCCTCTATTAAGCCCCCCGGGGGGCTTATTTTTTTCAAGCACTTTTGAGGGGAAGCTTAATAGAGAGGGGGGGCTTAAAAGAGAGGGGGGCTTATTTAATTTAGCAAAACGCATCACTTGTAACAAAAATACCGTGGTATGAGACAGAGTAGACTTACGCGTTGTACAATTAAAGTCACTGTCAAAAGTATTTATTTCACTTGTGGGAGCCTAAAAGTAACAAAAACAAAATTCTTATTCTTCAAAAATGTTCTATAATTTCTTGACTTAATAAAAATTTCATAACAGTTCCTGAAGTAATTTGGATACACTTTCTTTAAGTGAAGATGAGATAAAGAAACTAACTCAAGGCTAAAAATAATTAGGTGACCAGTCCATTTGGACCAACCAGAATGTGGGCAAGCATATATTATGCTGACTTCTCCTTAAGTTAGTAATATTAGGGATGAAAAACCTTAGCTCGAAAGTGATATGCTTTCTCATTAATTTCATCTGATGTCTAGTCATCGTGTCCAACGGCAAATATAGACAGTGGGTAAATTTTACCAAGTTGGATGTTGTCTGATGACCCAGTGTTATTTGCAGTTCTGTCTGTTTATTTATTTATTTATTTATTTATTTATTATTTTTATTTACCATGTAAAGCCCAAGATTCAATACTGAATTTAAAGGACTGCATCGTATATGCCTTGTATAAAATTGGGATAGTCAGTGAGTGTATGCAAAATATACAGCACATGAACAGGTGTATGTGCATGTCCATGTATGTGATTGTTATTTTGTGGATTTCATGGCAGACACAGAGGGGAGCTTTATTGTTGAGAGAGTTGTAGACATAGCAGATGCAGCAGTCAAACACATGCAGCATGTAGTTCAATCTGCTGATATGGATGAAACAGGTACAATCAGTTCATTTTGATTTGATTTTGTTGTTAAAAGAATAAGCTTATAAACTGGATGAGGAATTTAAAAAAATCATGAAAAAGCTGGTGTACAGACTGTATGCAAGGGTTTCAGGTTAAATAGCCTATGCCCTTAAGGGTTTTTTTTTCATTTTAACTCTAGAGGCAAAAAAAATTTCTTGCTAACAAATATCAATATTCTTTTGAAGAATATTTGGTTTAGATGTGTGTCCGTCTGTTACTTTTCAACAATTTGTTGACTGAATAATATATCAAATAAATCTGTAAAGTGCTTTTTAATCTTCGTTCTTTCCAATTTGTAGTTTACTAATTTGCCACTTTAGAAATGAAAAGAAACTGGACAGAGTTAACCTTTGCAAAGACTTCTGGGATTGTTACTGGGGACAGGGAAAAAAAATTGGTCGATAGTTGACCAATGCGTCCCTGTAAACAATCCCAGAAGTCTTTGGGAAAATTAACTTGGCACAGTTTCCTGCTCATTTCTAAAGTGGCAAAGAAACAAAACTATGCCATTTCATTTGAAAACGGTAGCCTCCTTAACCCTTTAAACCCTAAGGTCAAAATAAAAAACACTTATTGCGAGCTGTTTAGAGCGTCTTTGCTCAAGGGTATCCCATCTCAAGTCTTGGAGGATATCCGCAGATCTTGTATTATAATCACTAAATGTTATAATTCTCCCAGCCCTATTTTGCAATCATGTTGTAGCTAGTGCTGTCAGCCTCCTTTTCGAAACAAGTGCAGGTGCAAAATATTCATTTGATATGAAAATACAGTAACGGCCACCTTGGGGACAGAAGAAAGCGGCCGTTGTGGAGACTGAGGTGGCCGTTGCATCACGGATTTTTATGTCTTAGCTGTTTATTTTCCCGTTCAAATTACAGGTGAAACTCATAGTAGTGGACAGTATTGCCTTCCAGTTCCGCCATGATTTTGATGATCTCGCATTAAGGACGAGGCTTCTAAATGGTTTGGCACAGAGTTTTATCAAGATGGCTTGCGAAAATCATCTAGCTGTAAGTAAAGAAATCCATGAAGTGAATAACTTTTTCTGTTTAAATAAGCAATTAATTTAAGTAGTTCAAAAGTCTAACCGTTTTATGGTGATGGTGACGTTTATAATGGAGACGGTAATGATGATGGTGATAATGATGAGCATGATGATGATGATGATGATGATGATGATGACGGTGATGCTGATGGTGACGATAGTGACGTTGAGAGGTGATGAAGATTAGATGGCACCAAAATTCAGTCGTTTGTGCTCGTATGTCGCGTCAAAGTTAGTGTTAAAATGGTACCTTTTACGGACGTTTTACATATAGATTTGTTCTCGATGCATACTGTGAGCGCAGCAATTTAAAAACACGACTGTTTGTCAATGCACTCTAATAACAGCTAAATAAATGAAACTTACTTTTGCTTCTTTCAGGTTGTTTTTATGAACCAGATGACCACACGCGTGAAATCCACGCAGCTTGGTCAGTCACACCTTGTGCCAGCGTTAGGTAAGCTTCGTACCACCAACTTCATCAACGTGTAGGGGAAGAGAAACATTCGGTAGTTGGCAAGCTTTTCTTTGAGAAACACGATGTTAAGCGGGTAAACCTTGGTGAAAACTTTAAAATCCTCAAGAAATGCCGAAGGAAACTAGAGGGTTTGATTTTCGAGATGTTAATCATCTGACATTAACAGACGTTAACACTCAAGCGGACTCCATTCGTGCGAAAATCGTTATTTAATTGTTATATGTCCAACCCATGACCCTTTGTCTTTTTTTCCTTGCACTTTTCGCCCTTTCTTTTTCTATACTGATATATTTCCAAGAATCTTGTTAATTTCTTATCTTTTTATAATGATGACACAAACTTTCAAAACGTCAAGTTTCTTCTATATCGTTGATTTCTGTTTTAAAATTATGATATTGATTTTTTTTTCTCTCTACAGGTGAAAGCTGGGGTCATGCTAGCACCATTCGAATTGTATTGTACTGGGAAGACAATCAGAGGTATGAGGGACTTTTAGTCTGTTAAAAATGAACGAAATAAAGAGATCTATTAGAAGTGGTTAATAGGAAGTTGCTGTCAAACGATCGCGAATTGTTACATCTCAGTATCAAGCTGAGAATCATGGACAGAGCCACTGTTATTGTTTTAGGTCAATTTCGTTTGGTTCTTTTTTTCCGAGTTCAGAATCTTTTTGCTTCGCTGACCACCAGCTGTGAAACTTGAAAGGGGTCGATACAGATGTATATGTTGTGGTTCAATTTTATCATTAGTCTAAATTTTATTTTCTTTTTGTTTCAAACTCATTATCATACATTACCATACCCAAAAACAAAAGAAAATAAAGTTTAAACCAAGGATAAAATTGAGCCACAATATATATCCACATACATGTATCTTTAAGTCACCTTCATATTGAAATGGGTACCATAACCTTCTTATAGTAGCATCTTTACCCGTTGAAGACTACAAGCTTACTGACATCTCTAAACTTGCTTTCCTGTCATGTCAGTGTGCAGTGAACAAAAACATTCATTCAGTCAACATTTGTAAACTTCCTTAATATCGCCGGATAGTTTTTTAATTTTCCATCTAATAATATTTTGTATTCGTCGCCGTAATTTTTATGCCATCTTTGAAAAATTGTAATTGAAGAGGCCTAATTAACATAAGCTTTAAAGTTTCCTTTAGGCATTCTCGCCATTTCTTCCTACACTCAACTGTGTCTTGTTACGGGCCTCACTAAACAAGAGTGGACGATCTACAGCCCGTGAGGACTTTAGATGATGGTTGTTCTCTTCCCGACAGATTTGCAAACTTATACAAGTCGCCTTCACGCCAGGAAACGACAGTTCCTTTCCAAATCACGGTACAGTTATTGTAGTTTTTATTCTCACTGCTCCTCTTATCGTCTGGGCTTGTAAAGTGATATTATACGGGAAATTGTTTATATAGTCTTCAGTACTGTCAGTTTGCCTCCAAGTAAGGAAGCAGTTCTTAAAAAATCCTTAATACTTCGGTCAGTGTGAATCACTCGATTGGGTTACTTACCAACTGATTTTCAGGGGCACCCAACGAGAATATAGTTCAAAACCACTTAAACATAGCATTGTGAAACGATTTTTAGTATTTAAACGGTAGATATAGGCATATTTTTATCCCCTAAAAATTTTTCATCTGTTCGGATTTCCTAGCTGAAAGTCAAGTGATCCGAAAATTATAGAGATCAGAACTTACCTTTTCGAAAATTTGAGCCAGAAAAAAGGGTTCGGAAAATTCTAGGTGACCTTTCTAGGGTAACAATCCGTTAAAAATGGGCATTTATACAATGTTTTAGATGTTCGAAAATCCTCAACAAATGTTCCGAAAATTCTAGATCTCAAATCGTCTTCCGAACATATATTTTCCGAAAATTGGCGTTGGGTACCCCTGGATTTTGTCTAAGTTATGGCTTATAAGATTAAAAAGCTGCCGCCTGCGGCATAATCGCGAACGGTAAAATAAAGTATGGTTTATGCAAAATTTGGGGGGCAAACAGAGTGTATTATGGGGAATTCGAAAATAGTCAATTACTAAAGACATGTAATCGGTTACAATCATGAAACAGAAACAAAAACCGAACAAGATGAAGATAACGTAAACAAAAAGGACCAGAATACATTTTCTTTTTTAAAAAAATTCTCGTTACTGATCATTCGTTATTATCAAATTGTTTTCCTTTTGGTTCGTCTTAGGAGGGTGGAGTGCGGGACTGCTTTGCAAACTGCACAGAACAGAACAGTAGTGAAAACGTTGATAGTCCGCTGGCTCAAGAACATCACCAGAATTCACCTCGTGACACTCTTATGACGCGGAAAAGGCGGTTTGAAGATCTCACGTAGAAAAAAGGAAAGTTAACTTATATTTACGTAATTAATAGTAGAGAAAAAATGGTGTACAGAGCTTCTTTATGGTCATCATCCAGTCGCAAATGGGAAAAAGAGTGATGAAAACGAGTTGATTTGAACTGATATGTGAAAAGGAAACAGACGTCAGATTAGTACGAAAGCGCAAATCAGCTGGCAAATGTTGCAAATACTTGAGACGCGTGTGTGGCAAAACTTTGCTGATTCCGGCACTCCAGTTAATTCCTGTTGGGCGCGATTAGGATCTGGAGCACAATTATGAAAAAGTCATGTTCCTACAAATTTGCGCCTTCCTTGTCAAAGCGCTTCCTCTCCTCCTTTTATTTTTGTATCCAAGCATCGAATAAGTGTCCAGTAGGGTGCAGTGAGCCGCAATAAAGGTTATGTAACGCCCCAAAACGCTCAAATGAAAAATGACAGAAACCTACTTTATCTTTAAAGTGCCATAATCTTTAGCAAACACTGCGGTACTGTTTGAGCATAAGGGCTCTGTATTTACATGTCCCTCTGGAGACGAGACTGCCTTGTCGAAGCAGTTATCTGAGCCACGCGAAGCTGAAGCAGCCGTTCACAAGGCATTTTAGTGCCTTTTAGACCGTGAGAATCGAACCCCAGTTCTCCCGCTTTGCAAACCAGTACTGTACTCTACCAACTATGCTCCGGTTTATAGTGACTCATTGGTCTGATTGTAGTACTTAAAACGTTAGAACTTATGACAAGAATTCTCTTAACCTGGCCCCTTCTAATTCTTTGTATGCAAATAGAAGCTTCTATTTTATTTCTTAAAGTGGCTTTATTTTGCATTTGCAGATTCCATACTTTTTTCGTATTACAAACGATATTTTCCCCTTCACCCTTCTTTTGACAGTTTCAACTTCTTTATAATACCAAAATTGTCCAGAAATAGCTTGTTAATCATGCTTAAAGTTTGAAGGAAATCTGAATCTGCTGTTATTAAGCCTGTGGGGGAGGTATTTCTTCCACGTAGATCCGGGATACTCCAGGCCAGCCTGTGTAAGCATCAGCAGATTTCTTACCGGCACATTTGCCGACCCAGAATCCCACACGCACTGTGCCCTTGTGGATTTTCTCACAGACTCCTTCTATGTGATTTACGCGGTGTAAATTCTTTGACCTACTGCCACGTCCATACTGCATATACACTCCACCATCAATGGCTGCTGGAGCTGAACACTCTGCACCGTTAAAGGTGAAATACCATCGACTGCAGCAGTCGTCACAGTTATAGATTCGAAGATTGCCAGTCCAGAAGACACGTAGCGCTGTGTTGTCTGACATTTTCTTGAAAATACATTCCTGTGAAAATATAAATAGGAACATCATTCATCATTTGAAAATTAGAAACAAGAGCAACTAAAATTAAAACAGTCGGACTAAAATGTTAAAAAATGAACAAAGAAATATTATTTGAAGGTAGCCATGGGCTAGTTCCAGACTTACTGTGGTTGATACAAATCATTCTTCTTGATAAAGCTGACAAAACTAGAATTTTCAAATCTGACGTGAGTTAATCTCTTATTTGCTTTAGGCTAACCTCACGTATCTTTAGCTGTAAACTGAGTCTTTACCTTGATCAATCCGGAGTCCCTTCCATCTGTCTTCTTAAAAACGCACTGTTTCCAATTACGACCAAACGATCCTGGAGCACCCTTGGGACCTGGGGGACCTTGACTTCCACGAGCACCTGTATCACCCTTGTTTCCAGGGAAACCAGCTGAACCTGAGGGTCCCTGAGGTCCCTTGGGGCCAGGGGGACCTTGCTTTCCACGAGCACCTGTATCACCCTTGTTTCCAGGGGAACCAGCTGAACCTGATAGCCCCTGAGGTCCCTTGGGGCCAGGGTTACCTGCTTCACCTTTGTTACCACTGGGGCCTGGAGGTCCCTGTCTTCCACGGGCTCCTTCATCACCTTTGTTTCCTCGTGGGCCCATGGGTCCTTCAGGTCCATGATTACCGGGTGATCCCGCAACACCTACTGTTCCCGCGGGTCCAGGGCTTCCTGGGATGCCTGGAATTCCTGGTGCACAGAAACACCCACTGTGACCACAGGAACCATAAGATGATGTCTGCTGACGTGTAATCTAAGAGAAGATTAAATGGAAACATGCGTTATTATCCTGTAGGCCAAATTTGTTTTACTTTAAATATCTTTTAGGATTCTAAAAAAACAATTCCCAATGTTTGTGTTAAAAAATTGCGACGGTGGCATTTTAGAGAAACATCTTGACAATCTTTGAGTCAGCCATTTCCTTGGACCTTTTTACCTATAGAGCCTGTTCAGTGGTATCACTTTTCAATTACCTTACAGCAAATGACATTAAAGAATTTCCCTATTACTCGATGTTTTATTAAACAAGCTCACCTTATCGCGTGGTTTGCTGCTGTTGTCATTTGCAGAACAAAAGGTGATTAATATTAACAGCAGTAGCCCTAACGTATTAGCCAGCGGTATCTTCGCACAGGATTCCATGATTGTAAACTCTGCGAAAACATGAACAGACTCAAAGCTCATCCAATCACCAGCACTCAACTCACTAACTTTATCACGCCTACGTCATGAACTATACCTTTTTATCAAATCGAATACAAAAATTTGAAATATTGAGTGTGGAGACGCTAAAATAAACGAATTTTTAGTACGCATTTAGGATAAGATATAGGGTTAAAAAATAACTCTTCCACTTTCCTCAAAAAGTTAAAGAGAGTTGAAAGTGTAAGAACTCCCAGAAATGGACAGTATAAATAGAAATTAAAAATGAGCCAGTGATAACTTTGCTATGATAACATACTACTAGATACCAACCTGGTTTGTAGTTGTAAGGCTGTACTGAGTCACCTGATGAGGAATAACAAATCCTTGAAAAACCGGAAACTTTTATGTCCTCTTCTAACCTAGTTAACATAACGAAAAAACGTGTCTTAAGACAAGTTTCAGGCGAGATTTCCCATTGGTTTAATCAGTTCTTAATTGACCAAATAAAAAGGAGTTCATTTATTGTGTTTACTTTCCATAAGTTACAAGACGGGACAAGTTGAAGGGGTCCGTGACGTATAGAACACGAAAAAATCTAAAATTCTTATTGGGCGAGAAAATTTCTATATTGACTTTAAAAACACATCCATGTTTCACGTTATGTGAAATTTGAAAGGTATTTGGCCAATTCTGTTCAGAAACGGAAGTTTCATCACTGGCCATTTTTGACAACTACTTAGCGATATGCTTTTTGTTGTTCTTTGTTGATGTTAATATGCTGAAACAAATATATTGTGCAGTTTGATATGTTCGGATGGTTAAGTTATGAAATCATTGCCTGAGGCTGTGCCGGCAGTGGTAGACATCTTAGTACATAGCCATGCATCCTCTTTCCACTTGCTAAGTAAGTAGTGCCGGTCCCGATTGAATTAGACAATAAAAGAAATAAATTTCGAATATGAGCATGCTGCCTAACACATAAGATTGAGAATGAAGGCGATAACATCCAGATGCATGTCTTCCTTGGTGTCCTGACTCCAGTATCTAATATACACAATAATAACACAAAATTTGTGTGGAAACTAAATTTATTAGATCGTTTGTAATCACTAATTTAGGTAAGTTGGACTTCTCTTAAATTTTCTTGTTCCGAAGATTTGGGAAACTGCCGGTGCCCCTTGACTCAAATGTGTCCCCTGTAACAAGTTTTAAGAAATAATGGAAATATCACCTCTTGATCAATCAAGCTTGATTTTACTGCAGCCGATTTGCTTGATTTTATTGTTGATTTAATCTGAGTTTCTGCTGCCTGCATTTACTTCATCATGGTGGTGTTCACTGACTTAAATAGACTGAAGCGTTACTAGTTTCGACACCGCACACAAACACACAACATGAAACATGAACTACACCTCTTTTAATTCATAAGCTTTGCTACTCTTACGTTCTTAATCTTTCTATGTATCTACAGTCAGAATTGTGTTCAAGTGTCCTGTATGGCGTACTTTGAACTTTGATTATCAATTAATTTTCAGTTGCTCGATGAAACCGACATATACCAATGGGACTGAAATTACAGAAAAAATTGCAGCGTAAGTCAACACCTTTTATACAGTTCTTAAGCAACAAAATAGCGAAGAAGAACCAAGAAGACCCCGGCGAATCTTTAGTGGATGTGAATAGAAAACTGATAACAGACGATCCAGAAAATAACATTCGTAACTGGTTTTCAGATTTGTAGTTCGCCTGCTGTATTTTATTCCTTTCTCTTTCAATTAAGGCACTCAGATTCCAATTTTTCATCAGTTCTTGATGGAAAATGGCGGTACAGCACCGATCATAAATTCGAGAATAACTCAGTTGCTTACTTGAAACTGAATTTTAAAAGGAGGCACTAAATTCTCAATCAGACTTGTAGTGTTAGAACGATTATTTACTTCTTTTTAGGAAAACCAAAGTTTTCGTAACTGATTATGCTCATTAATTTGCAAACTCTTCACTAAAACTTTGTTCCCGGCCCAGTTTAATTGAGAAGGTCGTGGTGCTCAACATTAAATGAGGGACTGCTAATCTTTAGGATAATTCCTATTTCAAGTACCTGCGTTTTCTGTATCCAGGAAAACAGAGACGAAGAAAAGGAACTATGAGATAAAATAATGAAGCGTGAAAAGAAGTTCTTAAATTAACTAGGAATATTCAAACCTAAATTGTTTTTACCTTAAAATCCCTAATTCTGAGGACTTTTTGTTGACAACTGTTTTGTGCAAAAGTGATGTAAATCACTTTTTTGATTTGTTTGATTAAGTTCTAGAGATAACAAGTTAAGAGAACATTCTACGTGTATTCCAAGGAGCAACTTGGTTGTTAAGTGATTAGTCAGTAATTCGTCGCGGGATGATATGGCGTCTTTTATTTTAACTGTGTTTTTGCACCTGAATTAATTTGATCACTACCTTTTTTAACTGAAAAAAAGGTTTGCAATTTCACAAAGATTATCAACTAGACCCAACTAAGCTGAGATTGTATATTTCAAATAATAAGAATTATGTCTGAGATTTTTTATTATGAGCTATTTTATTCTGATTTTACAAGTTTTTCAACCTCTTCCCCACGGAATGTATTTCAGATTTGTTGTGTTTGTGTTGAAACTAAAAAATCTGCTTTGAACTAGCTTCCAGCAGTGTGGCTTAGTAGGACTCTATAACTTGCAAGCCTTATTAGCTATAATTTTAACAGACAAATTAAGGCAGGCCTCTCCCTGGTAGATTGTATTCTTTGTACCCTCACTTATCAGTTCCATCGCCTAACTTTAGGCGATTTCTTCTTGAGCGGTTCTGGCTTTGTCTTAGCTTAAACCAACAAAATCTTACAAAATCGAATAGGTAAATTTTAAGTTGCATAAAGTGACTAGACTCACAAAAAAGCCCAAGAATTGTTATCGATGTCTTTTAAGGGTTTGACAGTGCAGGTCTCTCAAATATTTATTTCGGTTGCGGTGGACAAAATGATATTTTCCGCAGTTTAAAAAATGTAAGTCACACAGGTGGACGTAATTCATGCTGCTCCTCGGGAGTTTGTCATTTCCGAAAAAAGCTCCATGATACTGTTTAAGTTACCCAATATAATTGCTATCAAAAATAAATACTTCTTATGGAACGATTACGGATTCTCTTTTGTGTAGGAATTGTACTGCGGCATCGCTATGATTTCATTTGATGATCAAACTTGCTGGAAAAAAGTTTTACAACTTTACGTCCTTTTGTCCTCCTCGTGCTGTCAAGGCCAAAACATATGAAAAACCTCTTAAATTGTGAACAACAGGTCATATTAACGACTCTCGCCTCCAAGTGGTAAATCTTCAATTAAAACATAAGTGAAACACAAGTTGCCGCGCACAAAATGGTTGCAGCATCGAAATCGTTTCTCGTCGCTTAGACTACCTTTTTGTTCCTAATAATACCTTGTATGGGGAGGTTTTATAACACAGATTTTTTTGTCTTCTGGTTATGAACTATTCAAACCTGTCTTGAATAACCTTCCAGTATAACTGAGGCTCTAAAACGCATAATTTGATCAAGAGATTCACGATAGTACAATTCTACTGAACCTTAATTTGTGTTTTAAACCCGCGTCCATATATAATTAACACTGGCAGTGATCTAGATGATGCTTAAAAAAGCTTTTGCTACTGCAAAATAAATAAACTCACTTACATTATTTTGGATAATTGGATGCAAAACCGCTTTGAGTAGAACCCTTAAAAGTCAAAGAAATGAGAAAGGCTGTTAAACGCAACATAGCAAGTAAATAACATAACAACACTGTGAGCTATGACCTTAAAAATATCCATTTAATCGTCTTAGTTTGTTGCTCATACCGAAAGTATAGTGATCTTTGTTTTGTTTTTGTGCATATAATGAGGTTCTCGTCAGTGCAAGTTTGTAAATTGTTGGTGATTAGCTTTATTTAGAAATGAAGCGTTATTCGCTAAAACAGTTCAAATATTTGCAGGTTTTACCAATCAATTTAGATGCTATTTTTAATATGACCTTAGTTGTTTGCTTCTTGATCTCGCATGATCCAAATGAGATGTAATTAACAAAAAAGGAAATTAAACAGATCTTGTACTCATTTCACTAAATTGAAATTATCTCATCCGTCACTGCGAAATTTTTTTTTACCACTTGAAGCATTTTTTTTTAACCTATATTCTTCTGCCTTCATATCGTCGTCTTATTATCTTGAGCAACACCTAGCGCAATTACTCTTTGACACGTCATACAAGGGCTACTCGTATATAATTAGGTTAGTTTTGGTTTGAATTTGAATACAGTTAATACAGTTTAACCCCTCACATTTATGACCCCTTTCCTCTCTTCGTTCGCGCTGGTTGGCGGTCCCGTTGCCATGATACTGCAGATGATTGAGCCTGCTTAAGGGATATTTAGGAAACGTTGCTCAAATTTTCACCAGAGAAAATCTTGTTTCCAAGACTCGCTCCTTCGAACTTTGCTTCAATTTCGTCTCTACCGGCACGCTACGCTTTCTAGTTCATTAGATGATATCATCGACGCGGAGCTTAGGGATTGCGGAAAATTTGGAAATACGACCTCTGAAATAAAATAAACTAAAGGCTTTCATCTCTTTTTCCTTCATTTAAAATCACTATTAGCGTGTGTAATCGAATGTTGACCAGTAAAACTATGAAATTATTTCCTAATTTCAGGGGTATTAACATTTGATTACAAATTAATATCAAGTGTAACAAATTACGCTTAAAATCGAGTTTTTTTTTTCTACTTGTTTATCCTATAGAGAACTCCACGCACTGAAAAGTTTATAGCATGGTTCAAGTTCACCAAAATCCTGGAGTGGAATCCTTTTGGATTCCTTTTTGATGTACTCTTTCATGTGTTAAGATTTTCTTGGGCGTATGTTAATGCCCTGTCATGATCACCTTCATTCATAAAATTATTTAAATTTTGATGCCATCTTAGCACTATCAAATATGGGACGTTGCCATAGAAGCTTTGTAATTTCACATGTAGTGAAATTATCAATAAATGCTACAATGTGACGCCAAAATTGAGGGATAACGTGTTTCCCATGATTTTCAGCTAAGTTGTCCTACAAATGCACGTATTGCATTTTACAATTTTGATTTCACGGAATTTCTTCAGGGAACTTAAATTCGTCCCTAACGTCAGACAGAGTGAGATCTGGGTTCAAGATAACCTCGTCGCAGGCTTTTCCCTTACTTCGACCGCCTCTCCCTCTTTTAAGAGTAAAGCCCTGTGTAGGAGGTTGAAGGGTAATTTAAAACTTCTTTAAAATCAACATTGAAGGGGAAGGGGCACAAAACAGCAACGCGGCTTCAATAATTATGACATGGATTGTATCAATTTTAGGTAGCTTGATCTCCCTTTCCCCTCCCCCCTTTCCCCTCCCCCCTCCCTTTCTCCTCACCCTCCGCTTTCGTGTGACATACCGTAAAATTCCGAAAGTAAGATCCTCCATGTATAAGCCCCTCCAAATATAAGGCCCCCAAACTCGTAACGCAAAAAACCCCTCCGTTTAATCGCCCCTCCGAATATAAGCTCCCGGGGACTTGTACTTGGAACTTTCCCTCAAATACAGAGCAAAACAAAGCAAAAACCGTAAATTTCCTTCAACTATAAGGCCAGCCCAATAAATTTTGAGACGCAAATTTTCCTCCGTACATAAGCCCCTCCGAATATAAACCCCTCCAAAAAATAAGCCCCTCAAAAGGGTCTCTGAAAATTATAAGCCCCGGGGCTCATTTGCGGAATTTTACGGTATTGGAAACTGGTTTATAAACTGCATAGTCTCCCTTTGTTGGTTTATTTAAAGAGAGTGGAGTACTAGTGCCCACTTTGCAAAATACGCTCTACACGCGATTTTTTTAAAGACTGTCAAAATCGGAGTTCATAGCAGGATGAAGGTTGCTGTACCAGCAACCTGCGCTCTGGTTTTTTCTGTTACACATCCATGACTGAGATTCTGGTTTGAGACTCGATTTCCTTTTTTAAAGAAGAAAATTACATCGGCAAAACCAAAAAACATTTTCCTACAGACGGGGTTTAACGTTAACACTAACAAAGCATCCCCTTCCATCCCTCGACAATATCTTCATACACTCGACCAGGAGGTCGTTTCTCGAATATACGTTTAAGACTTTCACTTTTCATTCGTTTTTAGAATAGCGGCTAACAATGATGTTCAACTTTTACAAATTTACTTATGAATAACTTTAAAGCGTTTTAATTTCAATTTGCAGATTCCTTGTTTGGTTTACATTTCTTTCGTATGCAAACGATCTTTACGCTCCACCTATTTTTAAAAGCTATTGTTAAACCTCACCTACGTTTGCATCTAATTCCAAAAATGTCAACCATGTATTATTTTTATTCCTTGTTAGCTTGTTAATCATCTTTATTTAGAAAAAAATCTGAATCTGCTTAAGCCTGTGGGGGAGGTATTTCCTCCACGTACATACGGGACACTCCGGGCCAGCCTGTATGAGCATCAGCAGATTTGTAACTGCTACATTTGCCGACCCAGAATCCCACACGCACTGTGCCTTTGTGGATTTTTTCACAAACTCCTTCAATATGACGAACGCGGTGCAAATTCTTTAGTCTGCTGCCACTTCCAAACCTCATAAAGACTCCACCATCTATGGCTGCTGGAGATGAACACTCTGCACCGTTAAAGGTGAAATACCATCGACTGCAGCAGTTGTCACAGTTAAAGGTGCGAAGAGCGCCAGTCCAGAAGACACGCAGCGCTGTGTTGTCTGACAGCTTCTTGAAAATACATTCCTGTGAAAATATAAATAGGAACATCAAAGATCATTTGAAGATCAGCAACTTTAGCAAACAAAATTGAAACAATCGGACTTAAAAAAATTAATGTTAACTAATGAATAAAGAGATATTATTTGAAGGCAGCCATGGGTTAGTTCCAGGCCTGTTGTAGTTAATAAAAATCATTCTTCGTGATAAAGTTGACATAACTCGAATTTTCAAATCTGAAGTTAGTTAATCTCTTATTTACTTTAGGCTAACCTCACAATTGTCTTTAACTGTAAAGTGAGTCTTTACCTTTATCAATCCCGAGTCCTTGCTTTCGTCCAGATTCTTAAAAACGCATTGTTTCCAATTACGACCAAACGATCCTGTAGCACCCTTGGGACCTGGGGAACCTTGACTTCCACGAGCACCTGTATCACCCTTGTTTCCAGGGGAACCAGCTGAACCTGAGGGTCCCTGAGGTCCCTTTGCGCCAGGTGGACCAGGCGGACCTGTGGTACCGCTGGGGCCTGGAGGTCCCTGTCTTCCACGGGTTCCTTCATCACCTCTCTTTCCTCGTGGGCCCATGGGTCCTTCAGGTCCATGATTACCGGGAGATCCCGCAACACCTGCTGGTCCCGCGGGTCCCGGGCTTCCTGGGATGCCTGGAATTCCTGCTGCACAGAAACACCCACCATGACCACAGGAACCATAAGATGATGTCTGTTGACGTGTAATCTAAGAGAATATTAAATGGAAACAAGCATTATTGTCCTGTAGACCAAATTTGTTTTGCTTTAAATATCGTTTAAGATTCTAAAAAAACAATTCCCAATGTTTGAGTTGACAAAATTGCAAACAGTGGCATTTTAAAGAAACATCTTTACAATCTTTGAGTCAGACATTTCCTTTGATCTTTTTACCTGAAGAGCCTGTTCAGTGGTATCACTTTTTAATTATCATACAGCAAATAACATTAAAGAATTTTCCGATTACTCGATCTTCTATTAAACAAACTCACCTTATCAGGTGGTTTGCTGCTGTTGTTGTCCTTTGCTGAACACAAAGTAATCAGCAGTAACAGCAGTAGCCCTAACGTATTAGCTAGCGGTATCTTCGCACAGGATATCATGATTGTAAACTCTGCGAAAACATGAACAGACTCAAAGCTCATCCCATCACCAGCACTCAACTCACTAACTTTATCAAGCCTACCTCATGAACTATACCACGTTATACCACGTTAAAAAAAAGACTATTCCCTTTTCACCAAATCGAGTACAAAAAATTGATATATTGAGTGTAGAGACTCTAAAATAAACGAATTTTTAGTACGCATTTAGGATAAGATATAGGGTTAAAAAATAACTCTTCCAGTTAAAGAGAGGTTAAAGAAGAGGAAGTTAAAGAGAGTTGAAAGTGTAAGAACTCCCAGAGATGGACAGTATAAGTAGAAATTAAAAATGAGCCGGTGACTACTTTGCTATGATAACACACTAGTAGATACCAACCTGGTTTTGTAGGTGTGAGACTGTAGCTAGTCACCTGATGAGGAATGACAAATCCTTGGCAAACCAGAAACTTTTAAGTCCTCTTCTAACCTAGTTAACATAACAAAAAAACGTGTCTTAGACAAGTTTCAGGCGAGATTTCTCATTGGTTTAATCCGTTCTTAACTGACCAATTAAAAGGAGTTCATTTATTGTGTTTACTTTAGCTTACTTTCCATAAGTTACAAGATAGGACAAGTTGAAGGGGTCCGTGACGTATAGAACACGAAAAAATCCAAAAATCTTATTGGGCCAGAAAATTTCAATATTGACTCTAACAGCCTATGCATGTTTAACGTTATGCGAAATTTGAAAGGTAGGTTTTAGGTTTATAGTTTAATGATACTTCATACCAATGCACAACAAAAAATATATATATATATATTTATATATAAGTACAATTGGTAAAGGAAAGCAATAGGGGGAAACTAAATACCATATAAAAAACTTCTCTCCAAAAATAAGGTATTTGGCCAATTCTGTTCAGAAACAGATGTTTCATCACTGGTCATTTTTGACAACTACCTAGCGATATGCTTTTTGTTGTTCTCTTCTACTTGGATGTTAATGCTGAAACAAATATAATTGAGCAGTTTGATATGTTCGTATAGTTAAGTTATGAAATCATTGCCTGAGGCTGTGCCGGCAGTACTAGACATCTTAGTACATAGCCATGCATCCTCTTTGCACATGCTAAGTAATTAGTGCCNATTCTGTTCAGAAACAGATGTTTCATCACTGGTCATTTTTGACAACTACCTAGCGATATGCTTTTTGTTGTTCTCTTCTACTTGGATGTTAATGCTGAAACAAATATAATTGAGCAGTTTGATATGTTCGTATAGTTAAGTTATGAAATCATTGCCTGAGGCTGTGCCGGCAGTACTAGACATCTTAGTACATAGCCATGCATCCTCTTTGCACATGCTAAGTAATTAGTGCCGGTCCTGATTGAATTAGACAATAAAATAAATAAATTTCGAATATGCGCATGCTGCCTAACACATAAGATTGAGAATGAAAGCGATAACATCCAGATGCATGTCTTCCTTGGTGTCCTGACTCCAGTATCTAATATACACAATAATGACACAAAATTTGCGTGGAAACTAAATTTATTAGATCGCGTGTAATCACTAATTTAGGGAAGTTGAACTTCCCTTAAATTTTCTTGTTCCGAAGATTTGGGAAACTGCCGGTGCCCCTTGAACTCAAATGTGTCCCCTATGGTAAGTTTTAAGAAAGAATGGAAATATCACCTCTTGATCAATCAAGCTTGATTTTACTGCAGCCGATTTACTTGATTTTATCGCTGATTTTGCCTGCATTTACTTGAACATGGCGGTGTTCACTGACTAGAAGCGTTACTACTTTCGACACCGCACACAAACACACAACATGAAATATGAACTACACCTCCTTTAATTCATAGCCTTTGTTACTCTTACGTTCTTAATTTTTCTATGTATCTACAGTGAAAATTGTGTGTCCTGTATAGCATACTTTGAACTTTGATTATCAATTAATTTTTTGTTCCATGAAACCGACGTATACCGATGGGACTGAAATTACAGAAAAAATTGCAGTGTAAGTCAACACCTTTTACAGTTCTTAAGCAACAAAATAGCTAAGAAGAACCAAGAAGACCCCGGCGAATCTTTAATGGGTATTAACAGACGATCCAGAAAATAACATTCGTAACCAGTTTTAAGATTTGTAGTTCGCCTGCTGTATTTTATTCCTTTCTCTTTCAATTAAGGCACTCAGATTCCAATTTTTCATCTGTTCTTGAAGGAAAATGGCGATCATAAATTCGAGAATAACTCAATCGCTCACTTGAAACTGAATTTTAAAAGGAGGCACTAAATTCCCAATCAGACTTGTAGTGTTAGAAAGATTATTTACTTCTTTTTAGGAAAACAAAGTTTTCGCAACTGATTATGCTCATTAATTTGCAAACTCTTCACTAAACTTTGTTCCCCAGTTTAATTGAGAAGGTCGTGGTGCTCAACATTAAATAAGAGACTGCTAATCTTTAGGATAATTCCTATTTCAAGTACCCGCGTTTTCTGTGTCCAGGAAAGCAGAGACGAAGAAAAGGAACTATGAGATAAAATAATGAAGCTTGTAAAGAAGTCATTAAATTAAGTAGAAATATTCAAACCTAAATTGTTTTTACCTTAAAATCCCTAATTCTGAGGACATTTTGTTGACAACTGCTTTGTGCAAAAATGATGTAGTTCTCGAAATAACAAGTTAAGAGAACATCCTACGTGTACTCCAAGGAGCAGAGTGACTTGTTTGCCAAGTGATTAGTCAGTAATTCGTCGCGGGATGATATGGCGTCTTATATTTTTGCCGTGCTTTTGCACCTGACTCAATTTGATCACTGCCTTTTTTAACTGAAAAGAAAGGTTTGCAATTTCACGAAGAGCATCAACTAGACCCAACTAAGCTGAGATTTTATATGTCATTGAAATTATGATAATAGTAATAATATCTGAGATTATTTATTATGAGCTATTTTATTATTTTACAAGTTTTTCAAAATCTTCCCCATGGAATGTATTTCTTATATGGTTTCTGTCAGTTCTGATCATGTAACGGAGATCGACTTCGTTTTAGTGGTTCCTTCTCTGAACTTTGAGTTTCACAATTATGGTCAAAACGTGTGCCAGATACCATGTGAACGAAATGAGTTTTTCGTAATTCTGAGACAAATCTGTTGATATCTGTCTAACAGCACAAAACTATTGTCTAACGCAATGAACGTACAAGTGAATTCGCTGTGTACTTACAGTTTTAATCGTTTAACCTTCAAGTAATTCTGAGTGCTTGAGTTATCAGTCTCGAGTGATAGCGAAATGCTGGAAAAACATGGTAAGAAGCTGTGTATGAGAAATAAACGTTCAATCATGTAAATTGCTATACATATCAGAAAAATAATTTAACTTTCATTGTTTAGTTTCTGATTATTGGGTCGTCTTCTCACAAATGTTCTCGGTACAGTCGAGTTGAAGTCACCGGAGTTACAATGTACAAAACAAATCCAAGACATATCGATATATTGAATCATAAATCAGATTGTAACCTCCTATTTAATACAGTTGCTATTAAAAGTAGAACATTCTCTTGATTCCAATACAGACCTTGTTTTGCGCTTGATGTACAAGTTAGTTAATATTTGGAAACGCCCATTATTTTGCTACTATTATAGCGCGTTTTCCAAATTTTACAATGATAGAACCACGCATTTTTTATTAACGAATTAGAGGAGGAGACGGGTAACATATTTGCGCTGTGTACTTGCGAGTTTAGCCACCCACTGGTAAATCTTTAAATAAAACATAAGAGATTGATTAACTTCTAGTAGTTAATTATAGCAGATTAGTGCACTGAGTACAGCATCGAAATCGTTTTCCGCAGTGGCATAAAGCGGTTTTCGTTCCCTATAAACTCGTTGCAAAGCTGTTTAATATCAGAGATTTGTTGTCTTAGGGTTGAAACTAAAAATCTGTTTTGAACTGCCTCCTGCAGTATGACTATCGTAAAACTTGCCAGCCTTATTAGTTATAGTGTTAACACACCAAGACAGGTCTCTCCCTGGTGGAATGTAGTCTTTGTACACTCACGTATCAGTTCCAAAATCTAACTTTAGGCGATTTCGTCTTGAGCGGGTCTTGCTTGTCTCAGCTTAAACAAAAATCTTGAAGAAAATCTCACAAAATCGAATAGGTAAATTTCAAGTTGAAGTGATTAGATTCACAAAAAAAGCCAAGAACTGTTATCGATATTTTTTTGAGCGTTTGACCGTGCAGGTCGCTTATCAGCTCCCTGTTACTGTATAAATTTCCCAATATAATATTGCTATCAAAAATAGACAATATTTATGAAAACGATCACAGATTCTCTTTTACAGCGTCACGTCCTTTGGTCTTTCTCGTGTTTTCAAGGCCAAGACAAATGAAAAACCTCTTAATTTGTGAACGATACATCACATTTACGAGGCTAGCCTCCAAGTGGTAAATCTTCGGTTAAACCATGAGTGAAACACAGATTGCTGCGCGCAAAATGTCTGCAGCATCGAAATCGTTTCTCCTTGCTTCGAATGCCTTTTTCAGTGTTCCTATTAATAACTTGTGTGGGGCAGTTTTTTAATACAGGCTTGTTTTCCCCCGGTTTGAGCTTCAAAAAACTTGTTTTAAATTGCCTTCCGGTATAACTGAGGCTCTAAAACGTACAATTCGCGATTATACAACCCTACCGATTGAAACATTAATTTGTGCAAAGCTGCGCCAAGAGAGGATGACGATAAAGTACTAATTTAATGTTATAAAATGTAAAAAGCAAATGAAAACATGCACGCGAGGGTACTGATGTAAGAGCGGTCATTTTAGTGGCCACTTAACGAGAATTTTTCCACTGTTTTAGAACATTGAATCATTTTACAAAGGAATCATTTTTATCATCGATCATGCAAAACTGCTGCAGTTGCGTTTTCATTTCAATGATCACATATCACCCATTACAGTTCAAACCACACGTCCCCGCTGTTGACTTTAGAAGTGAAAAAATCAAGACGCAATTTTTGCCACCATGAATTCTCCCCGATTCATATCTAATCTGAGGACGAAGTTTAATGAATTTACCGGATTTCGGCAGTTGTGATCATTTTTTAAAATATGTAATGTATACTGGCAGTGTTTCTGATGATCATTAAAATAAGTTTCCACTTCAAAATAAATAAACTTATTTACCTTTGGGTAATTGGATGCATAACCGCTTTCAAGGAAATAGAACCCACATCAGTCAAAGGCTGTTAAACGAAACATAGCAAGTAAAGTAAACAATATAATCCACATACCAACAACAATAATATAAGTTGTTACCTTCAAAATATCCATTCAGTCGTCAGAGTTTGTTGCTCATACCTTAACTAAACCGATCTCTGTTTTCTGTGCATATATAATGAGGTTCTCGTCAGTTCAAGTTTGTGAATTATTGGTGATCAGCTTCATTCTAACATGAATTTTTATTCGCTAAAACAGTTTAAATATTCCCTGGCCCGACCAATGAGATGTATCGTACTTCCTCAAATAATAGCCGGGGCGATTAATATTATTTTTTCGCCCAAAAAGGGGGCGATTATTTGGGGGATCGAAGGCGATTATTCGAGGAGGGGGTATTATTTCAAACAATGCTCACTGGAAGTTGTGCCCTAAATATATTGTGTTTTATTATCCATTAATCAAAAAATGATGGCATCAAATAAACTGAACATGCATGGGCTTTTCAAGTGTTTCAAATTTGGTTCCTCGATTAATTTTCAATCTGTCAATATCCTCAGCGACAAAGCATGAATCATCAGGGATCAGTTTTACTGGATCAGACTCCACTTCAACTTTACAGGGAGAGGATAATTTAAAGGAAGGAGAGAGGGTACGGGGATTGTTCGAGGGTGGCGATAATTTAAAATATTTCATTCTAAGAGGGCGATTATTCGAGGGAGGCGATTAATCGAGGGACGGCTATTATTCGGGGAATTACGATAATTAACGAAAAAGGAAAACAAAACATTTTCTCATTTTACTAAGCGAAATTATCTCCTCACTACGGTTTTTTTTCTACTACTTGAAGCATTTTGTTAGCCTTTATTATTCTGCGTTCATAAAGTCGTCCGATATCTTGAGCAACGTAAAGCGCAGTCACTCTTTGACACGTCACATAAGGGCTACTTATATTTGTTTTGTTAATTTTGGTTTGAAATTTGAATACATGAGTTAAAACAGTTCATCCCCTCACTTTTATGGCCCTTTTCTTCTCTCCGCTAGAGGCACGGGTTGGCGGTTCTGTGGCCATGATATTTAAGCGCTACTTCAGACGATTAAGCCTGCTTAAAGTGTATTTAAGAAACGTTGCTAAGTAAGGAACCAAAATTTGACGTCTCAAATTTTCACCACAGAAAATTTTGTTTCTAAGACTCGCTACTCAGAACTTTGTTTCAATTTCGTCCCTACCGGCACGCGTACTTTCTAGTTTATAGGATAAGACCCTCGACGCTGAACTTAAGGAATGGGGAAATTTGGAAATGCGACCTCTGAAATAAAAAAATACTAGAAAATTTTTACCTCTTGTTCCTTAACTTAAAATCAGGATTATTATGACTGTGTAATGAAATGGTAACGAGTGAAATTAGTATTCCCTAGACTGTTTACACTCCCCTATTTTTTTCGTTAAGTTCCGATCAGACTTGCCGGGATCGAGCGCTTTCCAGTACGGACGGCCATCTTGATTTAATATGTACCGAGGGGGCGGGCGCAGGGGTTGATAATGGTGGAGGGGAAGGATGAAGTGAGAATAACCGCCCCGCGCCTCCTAATTAGATTTGACACTCATCCAAGATGGCCGCCAGTAACGAAAGGGCTTCATCTCGACCATTTTACGGAAAAAACGATTGACTTTGAACATTCTAATTATTCCCTATACCATTCGGATTGCCCATTGATATTATGTGTGATAAATTACGCTCAAAATGGTGGCTTTTTACTTGGCTATCCTATCGAGAACTCCACGCACTGGAAAGTTTATGGCATAACTTTTTGGCTAAGTTCGCCATTTTTTCGAATTTTTTGACAAAATACCTGTTGGAATCCTTCTTAATGGGCTCTTTCGTGTATTTAAGTTTTCTAAAGCGTCTTTTAATGCCCTGTCATCTCCATTCACTTGACCACGTCTTGGCACTGAGAAATACGGAAAGTATGTTGCCATAGCAACGTCGTAATTTATTTTCACGCCAAGATTAAGGAGTAATTTGTCACCCATGATATTCAACTAAGGTGTTCCACAAATACACGTATTTCTTGTTACATTGAATTTGATTTCACGGGAAATACAACCTTGTATCTAATCTCCTCAAGAGTGAGATCTGGGTTCGAGATTAACTCGTGACCACCGCGATTTTTTGCTTACTGAGACCTGCCCCTCCCAGGGAAAAGCACTGGGGTGAAAAAGAAAAAACAGCAGCGCTTCAATAATTATGACTAGGATTAAGGTAGCTAGTGTGATCTCATTTTCCCTTCCCCAACCCCATCTCCTCTGCTTTGTGGTCAATTTCTGGAAACTTGCCTTCGTATGCCGGAAAAGCCAAGTAAAGTGATTTGAAGACTTTGATTTTTGCATGTTGGTCAGTTTAAAGAGGGAAGGGTGCCCACTTTGTAGAATACGCTCGTGACACGCGATGACAGTGTTCGAGCTTGAAATTTAAGGTCAACGCTCATGACTGTTACAAACTACACACTCCATGGCGCGAAAAAGCCAGTTTAGAGATTTCACTTTAAAAAAAGGAAAATATGATTTTTTTAGTGACTGTTAGAATCGGAGTTTATAGGCGAATGAAGGTTGCTGGACCAGCAACCCGGCCGCGCTCTGGCGGTTTCTGTTACACGTCCATGACTGAGATTCTGGATTCAGACTTTTTGAAAGTCTCAAAGACGATTTTCCTTTTTTAAAGAAGAAAATTACATCGGCAAATCCATAAAGCATTTTCCTACAGATGAGGTTTAACGCTAACACTAACAAAGCACCCCATTCCACCCTTCGACAATATCTTAATACACCCGACCAGGAGGTCGGTTCTCGAATACACGTTTTACACTTTCACTTTTGATTCGTTTTTAGAATGGCGGCAAACAAATGATGTTTAACTTTTACAAATTTACTTATAAACAACTTACTTTTGAAGGGTTTTTTATTTTAATTTGCAGATTCCGCGCTTGGTTTACATTTCTTTCGTATGCAAACGATCTTTGTGCTCCACCTATTCTTAAAAGCTATTCTTAAACCTCACCTACGTTCGCTTCTAATTTCAAAAATATCACCCATTATTTTTATTCCTTGGACCTCTAAAAATTCTGTCAAAAGTTAGCTTGTTAATCATCCTTACTTAGAAAGAAATTTGAATCTGCTGAAGCCTGTGGATCCGGGACACTCCGGGCCAGCCTGTGTGAGCGTCAGCAGAATTCCCACATTTGCCCACCCAGAATCCCACACGCACTGTGCCTTTGTGGATTTTCTCACAGACTCCTTCAATATGACGAACGCGGTGCAAATTCTTTCGTCTGCTGCCACTTCCATACCTCATGTACACTCCACCATCTATATGGCTGCTGGAGATGAACATTCTGCACCGTTAAAGGTGAAATACCATCGACTGCAGCAGTCGTCACAGTTATAGATGCGAAGAGCGCCAGTCCAGAAGACACGAAGCGCTGTGTTGTTAGTTCTTCTTTAGACCGCGAGTCGTCCTTCCTCAAAGCCACTCGCAGCAAGCGAAAAAATAAAAGAAAGCGTGTTTTCGGATTTTTACAAATCTCTTGTACCGTTATTTTTTAGCCTACGTTGCAGCCGGCCTACGCACTCGTCTAAACTATTTTTAGAACATATTTTATTTCAAGCCGATTTCTAGATATTACAATTTAATGAACGTCAAAACAAATGATTTCTCTAGTTTGTAACATGTATTCTTATTCCTTATTAGAAGACACTTGTTTACGGAAGCCCAGGGGGGCCAGATAGTGATTTCGTTTTTATTTTTCACTGTTCGGTTTTTATTTTTTACGTTTCCGTTTTTGTTTTTACTTTTCAGTTTTTGTTTTTAACGTTTTGATTTTCACTTTGTCATTTTGCTTTTCGGTTTTGGTTTTGGTTTTTTATTTTGTCCTTTTCCGTTTTTGTTTTTAACGTTTTGATTTTCACTTCGCCATTTTGGTTTTTGGTCAGTTTTTGGTTTTGGTTTTTATTTTGTCCTTTTCCGTTTTTGTTTTTAACGTTTTGATTTCCACTTCGTCATTTTGCTTTTCGGAAGCCCAGGGAGGCCAGATAGGGATATCTCGGTGAGCATTCGGAAGTCAGCCAAGCGTGGTCATTGCACGCGTGCTGAACGAGAATGCTGTCTCAGAACAGACTAGAAACAATAGAAAACTCCCAAAGCACAAACTCAGCCAAAACGCTAAAAATCTTCAACGTTTACTCAAGTTTGGACTTATAGAAGATAATGTCACAGTTTTTCAATGATCATGAAATTCAGAATCCGGGTAGTTAGTTAATTAATTGTGGCCCTGAAAAAATTTGAAGGAAAAAAAAATACGAATTTTTAAGAAAATGCTTTTTTCGTGAGAAGGACTCTTAAACGCTGACAAACGTCAACAAATTGCTAAAACTATAGTTTGTATATGTTTGCATTGCTCGAAATCGCGCGCATTTAGAAGGCCCTAAATCTTTTTGCTGACTTGCAAGGACCCATCTGTTATAAAGATCTCCAAAATAAAGGGATAAATCTCATAGTGTATTAGATATAATCGTGTAAAGTTTGCTTATCATTTTCGCATAAATTATGACCTAAATTTGGAAACCGTTCAATTTCTCGCATTGGGTCTTTGCGATTTTGGTGAAACACTGTTCTGTTCAGCGCAAGGCACTAATGCGCACTATGTGTAACAGCAGAATTTCCACTCAGACCTCAAAGGGGCGTGGCACTATAACCACGTGACATTTACTCCGATCGCCAAAAATTTTATGCTGTATTGTAGATTGATCTATATGTTATCCATTCTATGTGTTAGACTTACGATAAAAGTGAAGTTGGGGATACCAGAGAGCTTCAAAGTAGGATGGTACCTCCCAAAAATAACTGGGTCGAGTCACCTTAAATTTTCACTACAAAAAATCTCGTTTCCAAGACTCAGTCCCCCAAACTTTGCTTCAATTTGGTGCCAACCGGCATACAAGTTCATCGCATATCCTCGAAGCTGACCGAAGGAACGGCAAAAAAATGGAAATGCGACCTCTGAAAGAAGAATTATATATATGAAATGAGAAGTTTCTTCATCCCTCACAAGTTCCTTGACTTACAATCTTAATTTGTGAAAACAGGATCCAAAACACAAGATAAACTAAGTTGTTCGACAAATAAACGTAAAGCTTTCCACCAATGCTGATTTCACGGGATTGCTGTAGATCCCTTTAAAGCAGATAGTGGACGGTATGAATAAATCCCTTTACTTGGCTAAAGACTTTGACTGATCATCAGCAGTTACTTTTGGGACATATTGCGAACTGGTTTATGACCTGCGTACTGTTAACCCATCTGTCTTTTTGTGCCGTTTCAAGGCCATATCGCTTGTCAGAATTTTACGCCAACAGGGCCTCGTGAATCTTATAGGATATTATGATTCTATAATCATGCTTCCAATTCCCTTTAAAATCCCAAACCTTGAGCTTTAGACAAGGCAAAACTTAAATTTCGAGAAACCAAGGTTGGGGATCCTCGCACTAGGACTGGCCGTGCGATTTCAACTTACGGGGGCTTATAAAGAAACAACGGAAATCTCGAAGTCATTTTCTCAAGTTAAGTGTCCATGTTGCTTGTGAGTGGTGATGATAACTTACCGGAATGTAAAAAGCAGAGACTATGTAATTCAAAACGGGCTGTTGTCATGGTGACCGTAGCAACATCCAGTGCATGTTCGCCAAAGTGTAGTTATAGTATTTTGATTCACCTTCATTTTTTTACTTGTTGACTAAAGAGACTCCCTAGATCAAAGTCTAATTTGCAAGCTGCAAGGTGGACTCTAGGAAGTACAGTATATGAGAAGCATTAAGATTCTAATTTTGCTTTCATAATTGCTGTGCAACACACAGCTAAAATAATGAAGTCATAAAGCACCGTAAAATTCCGAAAATAAGCCCCCGATAATTTTCAAAGACCCTTTTTGAGGGGCTTATATTCGGAGGGGCTTATCTACGGAGGGAAATTTGCGTTTGGAAATCAATTGGGATAACCTTGTAGTTGGAAGGAAACTTACCGTTTTTGCTTTGCTTTACTTTGTATTTGAGGGCAATTTCCAAGTACTAGCCCCAGGGGGGCTTATATTTGGAGGGGCGATTTATCGGGGGGGTTTTTTACGTTACGAGTTTAGGGGGCTTATATTTGGAGGGGCTTATACATGGAGGGGCTTATTTTCGGAATTTTACGGTAGTCTAATAAATGGATCTTTAAAAAGAAAAGAGTTTTAGCAAATGAGTAAGGAAACAAATTCAGACAAAAATGTCGTTAACGAGGCTTTGATTTACATTTCAAGATTCCTTTTATGACGTCACTAAACACTTAACCTTTCGTGTAACAGTTGTGAGGATTAAAATTTAAATCAGCTTACTTATATTAGTAATCCCCATTTTATATCTCTATTTCCTAAATCGTATTATTCTTGAGCTTGACTGGCTTTACACTCTGCCTTAAACTTAGAAAAGAAATCAGAAACTTGCTGTCGCTAAGCTTTCGGGGGAGGTACTTCTTCTACGTAGATCCGGGACATTGAGTTCCAGCCTGTGTAAGCATCAGCAGATTTTAAACCAGCACAATTGCCGACCCAGAATCCAACGCGCACAGTACCCTTGTGGATTTTTTCACACACGCCCTCAATGTGACTATGACGAAGCACTTCATTACGTCTGCTCCCAGTTCCATCATACATGAACACCAATCCATCAATGGCACCTGGTGTTGAACATTCTGCACCGTTAAAAGTGAGATACCATCGCCTGCAGCACCGTTTACAGTTATAGATGCGAAGATTGCCACTCCAGAAGACGCGCACGCCTGTGGTGTCTGACATCTTCCCGAAAATACATTCCTGAGCGAAAATTATTTTAAAAATTATCAAAATTAAACAGTAAAATGTATGCTAGGCTTTTTAAACTCACAATTTTACTGCTATATAATCTTCCTCAGATCGAATAAACAAATTGTGGGCTTTTTGTGATTTATAAATCGAAGATAATTGACTGGAGACAATTTTCGTTCAAACACGCGACCAGAATATGACAATAATTTTTCGCAAGGCTTTACTTGAATGTGCGCAGAAGACTTGAATTACTCCTCATTCAAAGCCGTGAAGAAATATCGGGAAGTGTGTATCCGATGGGAATAAATAAACGCCTTGAAAATAGTCACCGTAAAGTTCCAAGCTTCTTCAATTTCATTATCTCTATTCAGTTGTTTTTGATTTGATATGGGTCGCAATGCGACTATTCAATAACCTGCCATTGTAAATTTAATTTTACCTTAATCAATCCAGAGTCCTTTCCATCGTTGATATTTTTGAAAACGCATTGTTTCCAATTACGACCAAACGCTCCTGGATGCCCCTTGGAACCTGGGGGACCTTGAATTCCACGAGCACCTGTATCACCCTTGTTTCCGGGGGAGCCAGCTGAACCTGAGGGTCCTTGAGGTCCCTTGGGGCCTGGGGTACCTTGCTTTCCACGAGCACCTGTATTAACCTTGTTTCCAGGGGAACCAGCTGAACCTGAGGGTCCTTGAGGTCCCTTGGGACCAGGGGGGCCTGCTTCTCCTTTGTTACCGCTGGGACCTAGAGAATCCCTATGAGATGCATTAAGATTCTAATTTTGCTTTCATAATTGCTGTGCAACACACAGCTAAAATAATGAAGTCATAAAGCACCGTAAAATTCCGAAAATAAGCCCCCGATAATTTTCAAAGACCCTTTTTGAGGGGCTTATATTCGGAGGGGCTTATCTACGGAGGGAAATCTGCGTTTGAAAATCAATTGGGATAACCTTGTAGTTGGAAGGAAACTTACCGTTTTTGCTTTGCTTTACTTTGTATTTGAGGGCAATTTCCAAGTACTAGCCCCAGGGGGGCTTATATTTGGAGGGGCGATTTATCGGGGGGGTTTTTTACGTTACGAGTTTAGGGGGCTTATATTTGGAGGGGCTTATACATGGAGGGGCTTATTTTCGGAATTTTACGGTAGTCTAATAAATGGATCTTTAAAAAGAAAAGAGTTTTAGCAAATGAGTAAGGAAACAAATTCAGACAAAAATGTCGTTAACGAGGCTTTGATTTACATTTCAAGATTCCTTTTATGATGTCACTAAACACTTAACCTTTCGTGTAACAGTTGTGAGGATTAAAATTTAAATCAGCTTACTTATATTAGTAATCCCCATCACAATGCTGAGGCTTTTATGTCCTCTACTGGAATAATTTTAAATACAAACGTGTTTTGAACAAGTTAGAGAGATTGTTAAATACAACGTGCTAAAAGAGTTCTTATTGGTTGAATGGATTCTTAAATGACCAGTTGAAAGGATTTTTTCCTTTGGCGCTATACTTTTACGTTGCAGGCTAAAACGAGTTGAAGGGTTCGTGACGTATGAAATGCGAAAACACCGCAAACTTTCCGACTGGCTATGTCATTTCTGAATTGACCAATGAGAATAGCTGTTGAAAATTTCTTTGTTTAAATAAGTAGCAAGTTTGATAAGGCTAACAGCACAACATGTTAAAAAACGGGAAGTATTTTTAGAGTTTATTTAATTTTTTTTGAGCCAACTGTCCAGTAATTTCGTGCTTTTTTGCTCTCTATGATTGAACTCGGATAACTCATTTTCAAACATTTCTAGAAATTTTTTTGGTCCGCGGACCAGCGGGGAGTTTTGTCAAATCATAGAAGCTATATTGCTCCTCTATGTGCACGCCTTTAATAGGACCTCTCATGATAAACTTCCTTTCAGTCATCAGTTATTCCTTTCATATTAGAGAACAAGCTCCGTTAGAACTTAAAGGCTCTTTCTGTCATAAAAATTCTCCGTCAAATTACATTATACGTCATGCTTGACACCGGCTCATGTTCAAGACGCACAGAGACCGTGCTGAAACAATAACTGTTGGATTAGACAAAATAACTGAAGGAGATTACGATTACCCCATATGTGCGTTTAATATTGCAACATTTTTTCTTAACGGTCTTTAATATACGTAGCTACGTTATTTATTTGGTACGTTTTTCAGCTAGCAAATACACTTTTAAAATTAGTCTTGGAACCGTACCTAAGTTTGAAATGTTTTCAAATCTTTACGGACATGCCAAGTTTGATTTTGCATTGATTTATTAAAAAAAAACTGCACTTGTAAAAAAATTTACCGGACTTTCGACTGAAATGGTACCTTTCACTTTTCAAAGAAAATATTTTAATTACGCCATTATCTGTTATCCATTTTTAATAAAACAGCCCGTTCTTAACATCTTCAAGATTTACCACTTCGATATATAAAACAACAAAATGCCTGTTTTCGATTATCGCCTTTCTTGTCTTAATCACCCTATTTTTCACTGATAAACAGTCGGCAATCTCGACAAACATTTTCCGAAGAATTCTAAAAAGGCTGAACACACTTAAAATGCACATTGCCAAGGTACCTAATTATAATTCCCTTACACGAAAGTCACTTATAAAAACAGACGCTAACTTGCAGGTGATTTAATACTTAATAATTCTAAGTGACTAAACAAAGGCTAATTCCCATTGCCCACTTAAACTCAGTCGCCTTTTTAACTGGAAACGTGTTCCGTATCATGAGAGTGTTCACCTACCTACGTATTCAGTGAGTTCAGCCAACAGAGTACAAGAAGAAGAAGAACGAGAAAGGAATAACGTAACATGTAAGAATTCACAAAGTACAAATATGCGAACCTACGCTGTTGTTATCTTGGATCTATTCTGTGTAACAATGATGTGCCTGAATCACTCTGGCTGTGGTTTGTTTGACTAAGTTCTCGTAGTAACAAGTTAAGAGAACATTCTGCCATGAGTATTCTAACAAGAAATGCTATTGGATACTACTTTTTCGGCCTTGTCAGCGATTCGTCCAATGATATGGTGTTTCGTATTTCCGCATTTCTTTGTGATACTTCTGAGGCATGACTTGGTGTGATTCCTTAATTCAGTGAAAACTAAAGGTTTGCAATTTTACCGCAAACGTTAGGCTGAGAATTTAAGGCAGTTATAGAGATTACAGATGAGTTATTTATTTAAGTTATTTAAGTTTTTCTACCTCTTTCTCTCAAAGAATGTATCCCCTGTACGCTGGCCATCAGTGTCATCATCAACTTTATAGACTGAGCATTAAATTTTACAATAGTGTAAGCTGGTTAAGACACAATGTGAACTAGACGAGTTTATCGTAATTCTGAGCCCAATTCGTTTATGTTTCTTGATCAGTACAAAAGTAATGTTCAAAAATTGAACGTACAAGTCACTACACTGGGTGCATTTGCTGTGTAATAATTTTAATCGTTTACCTTTAAGAAATTCTGCGATCACAACAGCTTTAGTTATGCGGCAGTCTAGTGATAACGAAAAGCTGGAGGAACAAAAGAAAACATGTACGTTAGCCGGTAAAATATGAAACGTTCAGCCTTAATTGTTCAGTATATGATCATCCGGTCGTCCTCTTACAAAAGTGATCAGACTTACAAAAAAGTCCCAAAATTATCGATATCATTTACGAGACCTTGCAGGCCTTTCATATTGCCCCCGCAAAACATCGAGTTCTTCAACTCCAACCTTCTCTTGATACCGGTACATACCTTCTTTTGCGCATGATGTACATGTCATTTCCATTGTTGATCAATTTTGCAAACGTAATATTCGATCCACAGACTCAAAAGACTCAAAAGTACAATAAAAATCTCCGTAATTGAATCTAGGGGTAAAATTAAATTAATTAAAAGTTAATCTAGAACGAAAACCCTCGATTCATTATTATCCCGTTTATCAAGAAATACCACCAGATTCCTATCAAAAGGGAGCGCAAAGTTTTATGAGTTTACCCCCATAATAATTGATATCGGCAGATATGATTTCCTTTTTAAATAGTTCATGCTGGTAATGTTATCATTCACGAATAGATAATGCTTTGAAAAACATTTCATTGTAAAATATACAAACTCACTTACCTTTGGGTAATTGGATGCATAACCGCTTTCAAGGAAGTTGAACCCTAAACAGTCAAACTGAGGAACAAAAATAACGAAACATAGCAAGTAAATAATATAATTCGCATATTAACATCAATAATGTAAACTTTTACCATGCAAAAAAGGGATGGAGAGTAGTACCTAGAAATTCAAGGCTCTTGGCAAATTAGGAATAATCTCGATATCTCGTATGGAAGAGTTGGCTAAGTCTCAAGTCCGCCGATGTTGTTGGGTGTATTACATTTCTTCTTTCCTTCTTGTCGAGTCAAAATCCCTTCGCCCCAAGACTGCGCCATTTCTAATTATCCACTTAATTGTATGAGTTAGCTGTTCATACCAAAAATAAAGCAATTCTTGTGGTTTCTTTAGCGCATTTGTTTCGTGAGATTCTTGTCAGATCGCGTTAATAAGAAGGAATAACATATCAAGTACTATTAGTAGTCAGCTTCATTGTAATATGAAATGTGATTGGCTAATACAAATCAAATAATCTCTGATTTGACCTTTCAAATAACATCGATCTTTTATTACTGAAGATCTAAGTTGTCTATTGTTTAATCTCGTAATTATCTAGATGAAATGCTAATTTACAGTGAGAAATTATACTCGTAAGTTCAATTTTTTTATCATTCAACATTTTGTGATTTTTTTAACTTTATTTTTCCTTTAAGGTGATCATTAGATATCTCGAGAAACACACTGTAAAACCAATAGATTGTAAAATGCTTTAATCCTGAATGGCGTTTAAGTTACTTGCCATACAAGAGCTCTTACTAGTCGTTTGTTTATTTGGTTGGTTTTGGTTTGAAATTTGAATACAGTTGAGTCTATTCAACTTCTTTGCATCCCGATGAAAGAAGAAAAAACGAACCAAAACGGTTGAAAATGATAAACTGGATTGTTGTTGGTTTTCACATGAGGTCATCAAAAATTCACACAGGAGAATTTTCGATGCTCCTGAGTTTTTTCTTTCATGACGTATTAGAGTAGCTGAAAGCGAATGTTCCAACCAATTTTTACTTCGAAAGGGTTCTTCGTTGTTTTGTGACCACAGTGAGCTTGAATTTCTAAGCTTTTGCTTGATGCCGCATTCTTGGCGGCCGAGAGATGTCAGGAAAGGTTGAAAAAGTGACCTATATGGGGAGGGGGGGGGTAGGGATTTTGCTATGTGAACAGTTGTCATATATTAGAAAAAATGTTACTTTACATTAATGTTTATGAGTTCCTCGAGAGACGAATTCACGCTTTCTTACCAAAACTCAGTGACAGATGTTTCTGTTAGGTTCCGGTCGCCATGTTGGTGCTCCAATACAAAGCTCTTGGGTCGTGAATACAGTCGAAGCTCTCCTTGCGACCACTCTCGTAAGCGACCAGCTCTAGTTACGACCACCTTTGTGAAACCCTGTTTGAACTGTGACTTAAACTTTGTAATGAAAACCTCTCGTAAGCGACCGCGACCACTTTTGGGATTACCCAACTGGACTTTTCCTTTTTTTTAAGCTGTCGTAAGCGACCACTTAGAGTCTTATTATAATAAATAAACACTTTAATGACTTCAATGAAACTGCACACTGTGCTTATGGTCTAAAACATTGGACTTAAAGCGTTGCCGTGTCGACATCAGATATATAACCTTACATGCGGTCGCTTACGAGAGCTTATTCTCGTAAGCGACCAGCTCTAGTTAAGACCACTTTTTCGAATTCCCGAAGTGGTCACTAAAGAGAGCTTCGACTGTAAATTTATTTCCCCAATATCTGGCATATGAAACAATTCAATGACCTGAACAGGCTTGGCAAGGATCTTAAGGTATTTATTCCTCTATATTTCTCAGATTTTGGACTATATTTTGATTTTGATTTTTGATAGCGTGACAGTGATGCCAAACCAGCAATTTGCTTACTTTGTGTCTTTACCTCTCCCCCTTTCCCTTCTAAAAATGCTCAAAAGTTTTGCTAAGTAATAAATCAAAATTAGATGTTATGACATCTCAGATTTCACCAGAGAAAATCTCGTTTCCAGGGCTCCCTCCGTCATTGTTTGCGTTAATCTCGTCCCCAGCGCCCACACTTCCAATTCTAGTTTAATAGGTATTCGTGACAGTGATTGAATCAGAGATGGACTGCAAATGCAAATGTGACTTCTGAAGTCAAAAAATAACAGGGTGTCTCCTTTTCTTTTCTTGCGGATCTAAGCAGCTTGATATCCTTACTTGACAATCCTTCTCCCCAGTCCAGTGAAATTAGATTTAGTTCTGTTTATTGGACAGTATAGGTCCCTTTATTCTAGGGATGACAGACAATGGCGCGTAAAAGAAAGTTACTTCTTAAAACTAGAAAGAGGTGTATGGATTTTATTTATGGCCATCATGTCGTTCCAATCTTCCTTCGGTTCGGTTGGCGTAGAATGACAATTGAAATAATGATTGGAAGTGGAAGGGATGTTGGACCAACAACTCGTCTCTACAAATATTTTCTGAAGGTTTAGGACATGTCTTAATATAAAGGATATTATCTTAGAACTAACCGCCTCCCGTCAGTCCTTATTATAAATTTCAACATTTCGCTATTGATTATAATCGACATTGAATTCAAAATTTTAAAAAACGGGTTTGTATACGTATAAAGCTGTTTTATGCTATGAAGTACCTTTTCGAATCTTCAGCTGCAGATTATTTACTTGCGCATCTCTTTTATATTGCAAATGGCTTTAACCCATCGCCTTTCTTTACAGAAAAGACAGGCTTCATCCAAATTTAATTACATCAGCATCTACCCCTAAGCCCTCTTCTGGCCACGGATTTGGAAATAGTAGATTGAACATATTTCAAGAATTCCTGTAACAGTGCCCCAGGCCATTCACTCAAAGAAACTTCCATTTTATATCTTTTGGTGGCTTTATTTGGCATTTGCAGATTCATTACATGGTTTTCAGTTCGTCCGTATCAAATATGATCTTTTACCCTTAACCTTTCTTTGAACAGTTACGGCTATTCTCAATTTAACTGTGCTTGTTTATAGTACCAAGAGTGCTTATTATTATGTATGTTCTTTACATGTAGAATACTATTTCTGCCCACATTTTTTTTTATCACCCTCCAACTAAGAACGAAACCTGAATCTGCTGTTATTAAGCCTGTGGGGGAGGTACTTCCTCCACGTAGATCCGGGACACTGAGTTCCAGCCTGTGTAAGCATCAGCAGATCCGAAACCAGCACAATTGCCGACCCAGAAACCCACGCGTACAGTGCCCTTGTGGATTTTGTCACAAATTCCTTCAATGTGACGTGGGCGGTGCAAATTCTTATGTCTGCTGTGACTTCCATACTCCATGTAGACTACACCATCAATGGCTGCTGGAGCTGAACACTCTGAACCATTAAAAGTGAAATACCATCTCCTGCAGCAGTTGTCACAGCCTCGGAGGCGAAGGTTGCCATTCCAGAAAACGCGAAGCCCGGTATTATCTGACATCTTCTTGAAAGTACAGTTCTTTGAAAATAGAATAGAAAAAATCAGCAACTTACAAACCAAAATAAAAACAACTAGACTAATATACTTTCGACTTGTAATGAACAATGCTGAAGGCTGTCACGGATTCCAGTTTTACTGTTGGAAAATAAAAGTTCTCCATAATAAATTAAAAAGTAAATGAATTTCTTTTTCAAAATTTACCTTAGTTTTCCTCCAAGTTACTGCAGGTTTACATCACTGATTAATATCTGCAAACTGAGTCTTTACCTTAATCAATCCAGAGTCCCTGTCATCGTTTAGATTTTTGAAAACGCACTGTTTCCAATTACGACCAAACGATCCTGGGGCACCCTTTGGACCTGGGGGACCTTGACTTCCACGAGCACCTGTATCACCCTTGTTTCCATGGGATCCAGTAGAACCTGAAGGTCCTTGAGGTCCCTTGGGACCTGGGGGACCTTGACTTCCACGAGCGCCTGTATCACCCTTGTTTCCAGGGGAGCCAGCTGAACCTGAGGGTCCTTGAGGTCCCTTGGGGCCAGGGGGACCTTGATTTCCACGAGGACCTGCTTCACCTTTGTTACCGGGTGGACCTGCTGGGCCTGCGGGGCCTTTAATTCCTTTGGGACCTGGTGGTCCCTGTCTTCCACGGGCCCCTTTATCACCTTTGTTTCCTCGTGGGCCCATGGGTCCTTCAGGTCCATGATTACCAGGTGATCCCGTAACACCTGCTGTTCCCGCGGGTCCAGGGCTTCCTGGGATGCCTGGAATTCCTGGTGCACAGAAACACCCACCATGACCACATGAACCATATAATGAGGTCTGCTGACGTGTGCTCTAAAAGAATAGTAAAAGTCTTAAAAGGCAACATACATTATCACCCTATAGGACCAATTTGTTTTGCTTAAACATCCTTAAATATTCCTCGAAATATTTTCTAATGTTTAGATGGAAAAGAACGCAGAAACTCTCATTTTGGACAAACATTCTGACAATCTATAAGTCAACCATTTCCTTCATCCTTGTAGGTAAAAAGCTAGTTCAGGTGTATCACTTTTCATTTATCTTACCACAATTACATTCACTGAAAACCTCCCGATTGCTTAATGTTTCATTAAACAAACTCACCTTTTCACGTGGTTTAGTGCTGTTGTCGTTTGCAGAACAAAAGGTGATCAGTAGTAACAGCAGTAAGCTTAACGTAGTGGCCAGCGGTATCTTCACATAGGATTGCATGATTGTAAACTCTACGAAAACATGAACAGACTCAAAGTTCATCCAATCGCCTGCTCTCAGTGATATACTATCTTTATCACTCAGCCTTGTAATATGAAGTGACCTATACCACGTTAAAATAGACTATTCCCCTTTGTATTAAATCGTGTACAAAAATATATCTTCCACGTAGTCAAGAGACTCGGAAAAGGGAAATTTTTGGACGTGCCCATCTAGGCCGAAAAAAACAAACCAAAATACGGCTTTAAAAATAATTATTGCACTTTACTTTCCTAACAAAAAAACGAACAAAATCGAACTCTTAGTATAAGTATAAGTAGACAGATAAAAAAGCTAGATACTGCTTTGATAACGTACTATTAAATACCAACCTTGTAGTTGAAAGGCTGTAGTCATCGGATGTTACATATCCTTAACAACCAGAAGCTTTTATGTCCTCTTCTAACCTAGTTAACATAACATAAAAACGTGTCTTAGTACAGGTTTCAGGCGAGAGTTCCTATTGGTTTAATCAGTTATTAATTGACCAATTAAAAGGAGTTTTATCCTTGTGTTTACTTTCCATAAGTTCCAAGTTGAGACATGTACAAGTTGAAGGGGTACGTGACGTATCGAACACGAAAGAATCCAAAATTCCTATTGGTCAGGAAATGTCTGCATTGACTCTGACAATTCATCCATGTTTAGATATTACCGATAATAGCGATATGCTTTTCGCTGTTCTTTTTTTAATATGCTGAAACAAATATATTGTGCTTTGATATATCCGTATTTAAGCTATGAAATTACTTTCTGGGGCTGTGCCAGCAGTACCAGACTAAATTGTATTCTGATCTTAAGCAAAATAAGTGTCTGCGAAACCATCTTCTTTACACATATGTTAGGTAAAGAATATGCTGCCTTAGTTACACATAAGATTGAGAATGAAACCGATAGCATTGCAAATGTCTTCCTTGGTGTCCTAACTTTGATCTCTCATATGTACAATTATAACGGTACAAAATTTGCGAATAAACCTAACTTTTTAGACCGAGAGTATTCACTAATTTAGGTAAAAAAGTTCTTTTAAATTCTCTGGTTCAAAGATTTGAACTCTTGTAAGTGTCCTCTATATATAGTAAGTTTAAGAAAGAATGGAAATATCACCTCTTTCTATTCTCGACACCACACACGCACACACATGACACGTAACCAAGTCTCTTCATAGCTTTCGTTTCTTTACTTTTGATTCTTTCTTTCTTTTAGCTGCTGTTAAAATTGCGTGTAAATTTCCTGATTTAAATAAATAAATCCAACATAGTACTACCGACGAACTTGTGCCGGGAGCGCAGCCCCCAAATTTTTGATACACTTATCCCAACAACAAACTTAGCTTGGCAACTGTTTTAATTGCGCCGAAATTATCACAAGTTTTGGATTATACTTGATTAAAAAAAAAACCATGCGTGCATTCGCAACAACACTAATAGACATTTCATTCATTACTGGTTGTCAGATTCTTAGCTAACCTGCTCTACTTTGTACCATTTTCTATCAAAACCGCCTTCGAAAGTAAGGCTATAAACACTGTGGTTTAAGGCCCTCGCTGATTCCATTTTTCATGATTAAGCATTTTCCATTTTATAATGGAACGTGGCTGGCCGATAACTCTATATTGTTTTCCTTGTGTAAAATCCAGATCTAGAGTTATTTAAAACTAAAATTGCTTTAAAAACAAACTAAGAGACTTTCAGAATTAAATGCTTCTCACCCTTTTGAAAGAAACTCTACAGTAGAATTCCGATTTCCAGTTGAATTCTCTGTTTTTCGAAACTCCCGATGATTCGAACCTGCAACCTAACTATTCCTTTAGATAATCTCTTAAGCACCTCGAAAAAAAGAAAGTAAACACTTATTCTTCTTTGTCGCATTCCGTGTCTTGGTCACAATGGCCTTTTTAATAGTTTTTCGTTTTCACTGATAAACACGGTAACGTTCGAAACGTTCATGGAATTCTAAAAAAGTGAAATTCACTTTACATGAGGTGGTGGTGGTGGTGGTGGAGGGAAAACAATAGAAATGTGGTGGTGGTGGTGGTGGTGGAGGGAAAACAATAGAAATGTGGCGATGGTGGTGGTGGTGGTGGAGGGGATACAATAGAAATGAGGAGGAGGAGGAGGGGAAAATGGGAATAAAAAAATTGCGGAAGGAAAATAACAAAATTGTGAAAAGGAGAGGGGTAAGTAAAACATTGTTTGCAGTGTAAAAAAGAGCTATTTTGCCTTTTCCCTCATTAATATGTACGATTTGCCCGCCAAAAATCAGTGAACGGGAACTAGGACAATCACAGCAGCAGCAAATAGGACAAGAGCTAGTTTGTCTTTGCCCTCATTAATATGCACGATTTGTCCGCCAAAAGTCAGTGAACCGGAACTAGGACAATCACAGCAGCAGGAAATAGGACTTGTATAATTACATTACGCCTCCGTGATTTTAAGTCACAGACAAGTTTGACTTTGCTCCTCAGACAGTATGAATTAACCAATAAAAACGTTTCTTATTTTCTAACTAACCAATCGAAAACGAAGACCTTAAAGTAACTAGAAATCCTAAACCAACTAAAAATAGCACATGACCTTATCTTAATGAGATTCCTGTTTCCTGACTCGACGCGCACGACTTACACGCGAGATCTCCACGCGCTCCCAGGGAAAAAACACAGGCTAAAAAGGTGCCCTTTCTGCCCTCTCTGCCCGATCTGGCCTTGAAAATCAACAATAAATTCTAAATTTTTCGTTCTATTTCCGATAACTCGTGGACTTGAGTTAACAACTATGACATCATAGTACCCCGGAATACATAGGACATCATCTTTCGAAAATAACTAAAACCTGTCAAACCGGTTATACCAACCATGACCGCCACAAGATAAAAATAGAACATGACATCATTGATAAACCCGTCAAACTGGATATACTTAATGAGATTCCACCGCAAGTTAATGAGATTCCTGCGCATTTTATTCATGAGATCAAGACAAAAGGTTATGACGTCATTGGCGTTAATGTATTCCTCCGCACTCTAATGAGAATCCTCCGCAAAAAAGAGGATAATTCGGTCCCTCCTATACTACGTTTGCCAATGGAGTTCCTATAAAAGTTGTAATCTCTCAGTCAACCATATCAATTTATTCTGACATAGGAAGGGTACGTCATTTTCATCATTTCGGGAATGTTTTGAATCTAGCAATGTGTTCAGTTGATAATCCTAAAATTTCCCTTTGAGAGGGTAGATATGGCTAGATATATCGAAACCTGGTAGTAGAAATTTTAGGGTTTAGTAGAGCTTACGCAAACTGAACTTTTTCCGCCTTTGAATTTATAATTTATATATTTCCGCCTTTTAAGTTGTTTGTTTGCATCATAACATATTCAGCACAAGTAGCCCTTACTGACCGGGAAAAAGAAATGCCAATTGCTAGGAGTAAAATTCAATTCAATTTCTGTATTCAAATAAACTGAAAAAGAAAATCGATCATAACTGATAAAATTGTTTCTTTAGAAAATTTGCCTGTGGAGTTGGTAGCGTATTTTCACTGTCTCGCACTGAAGTGGAAACTTCCTTCACTTTAGAAAAGTAAATAACAAACTTTTATAACAGACGAACTGACTACTGGCAAAAAAACATCTATTTGGGCCGGTTAAAAAAAACAGAGGTTAAACGGTGTTTTAAGATAAATTGGCGCCTTAATTATTTTCAACTTCATGCCTATCATGATTAGTGATGTAAGCTCAGTAAATGTTTTCTGGTGCGCTAGTATTAATTCACTATTAATAGATTAGTTGTCCCGTGTTGACGGGAGCAGCCATTTCTTCATCATCATTGGAGTAAAGTAAAATGCTATCTGTTTGTGGGCAAAGAATAATTAATTGGGTACTTGTCCGGCCAACTAGGCTTGACGCAGTTACAGCCCTCAACTCAAAACAAGCCACTTATAAATAGGTATCTAAAATACACTTATTTTTTCTACTGTTATCTAAGCTACTCACTTTGTTTAAGTAACTGACCCCTCAAGTCTTCATGCAATTTCGTCTTAGCTGATATCACCAGTTCTAATCAAAACCCTCATACAGTGATAAACTGGCACAATTACCTGAACTGAACACGTATCTTCTTTGTAGCGAAATGACATGCAGACTCTGAAGCAAAAGATATTAAGTATTCACTGCTTTTTACTCTTCCATCAATCAAAATTAGAACGACCAATAAAATCGACCAATAAGAAACAATGGATTAAAATCTACCAATCATTTATCACTGTTCTGTCAATCATCGCAGCGGTTCTTTTAGAAACACAGGTTGAAAAAAGGTGTTTCCGTTTCCGTTTTTGTAACGGTTACCTCACGGAAACTGACACGTTTAAGTCAACGGAAGCGCTGCGGAAACACGAAGCAATGCCTCCATTTTCATCTTACACGTTTCCCGTCGAAACCGTCCTGCGGAAACGCAACGCAATTTTGAACCATCAGGTTTCCGCAACATTTCCGAATTGCGGAAACACCCTATTTCACCCTGCGAAAATAAATCTCTTTAGACTCGCTTGTCTTGGTAAGACCTTAAAC